CAGGATCCGGCGACTTCAGGCAGGTCAGAGGCTTGCAGGATCCGGCAACTTCAGGCAGGGCAGAGGCTTGCAGGGTCCCGGCGACTTCAGGCAGGACAGAGGCTTGCAGGATCCCGGGGCAGTGCGGCCCCGGGATAAGGCCTTTAGGAGATGCTTCGAGTTTGAGAACCGAAGCGAGACTGATTTTCTTGTCCGATTGTTCGGCTTTTATACCTTTTTAGAGAGAACGGAAAATTATTTAAATTAAAAGCAAATTTTTTGTAAATGGCCAAGAGGAAAGAGTATTTATGTGGAATTATATTTAAGTAGAAACAACAGACCGGTAGCGAATTTGAATAAAAATTGCCATGACAACCAGATAAACAACGATGTCAAACATGTCAAATTTTGGTTTTAGGCTCGTAATAGAGAAACGGCAAGATTTAAGTGAAAAATGAGATATTATTGCTATAGGAAAAAAGGTAGCGCACCAGCGCGCACAAAGCCCGAAATTGCAGAGTTACGGAGAACTAAATAAAAGATCGAAAAAGGTAGACTCCCTCGACACCAAATTAAAAAATGCTGATAGCGTGAAAACACGAAGTGAAAATGATTTGTTATTGTGTTCTTATGGTTTAAAAACGTTACAGGATCCTATGGAAATAAAGGTGATACAAAATATCAAGTTTTGAGGTGAATGCAGAAAATCAAAACAGAATGGAAAAATGAATTTAAAATAGTGTAAAATGATATGTAAGTAGCATAACACTACACTACATGATAAATAATTTCATTTCAAAACAGTGTCGAAAAATGGGGATGACAGTATAATGGACTGCGTTCCATTTTAAGCAGTAACCAGTATGGCAAACTAAAAAGGAACGGCTCACAGTGTACTGAATTGACGTCACACCTTACAGTGGCCACAGTGTATATCGGAACACAGTCTTGATGTAGCTTGCTATTGATACTATCTTGCTACTTATTAATCTGTGATTGTTATGATGTTGACTTTAATTGGGAGAGTTTTGGCGCAAACTTTAACGGCGACGGTTTGCTGCTCCTGTATTATTGTTTAAATAATGGTTTGAAGTGGACTTTGATATGTAAAGTGGTGCGATTTTGTGTATTAAATGTCTGCGCATGTGAACTATTAGTGGAAACGGTGAAACAAGTGTTCTGATGTCTGATGGTGATGTAATTCTCAAGATAAGGTGTCTGTCTGCTGGCTCAAGTTGCCGTCAAAATCTTCCAATGGCCGTTGCATAATGTTAATTATACAATGTAACTTCAGGCACAGAAAGACAAGAGCCCAGAGCCGTAAACCCAGTTATAAAAAAATATATTTTGATTGGTGATTTGTGATTGTTGATTAGTTCAGCTATTTAGTAGCTTGCCGTGAAGTTATAGATAAAGATGGAGACCACACTCCGAATACCTACTTGAAGCTTAACCTATGTATTACTACCTCGCTCTCTGTGGGCAGACCCTCCCTTTCTAAGTAGGTAATCTTTATTTTATTTTTCCCAGGATATCGCTATAAGTAGTTGAGTTACATTAAGTGTTTTATTTATAAATATCTATATCTCTGTTTACTACTAAGACCTAGCCTATATAGATTATATATTTTTGTACAATTTTTTTGGGAACTGACTAGTTTCATGAAGAAAGGTTTTCATTTCCATGGGCAGAACCGGTATTAAAATATGACCAAGCATTTCCGTCACAATCCATATAATGCTGAGCCTATTTAGAAAATGTGGAAAATAAATATATCAGAGAATATTTTATAACTACCATTTCGATAATGTATTTTCTGGTTATTGTATACAATTCCTAAACGGTACCAACGAAATATAAAATTAAAATTTATTATAACCCCGGGTGATCAATGAATTTGGCAAAATATACCTGATTTATTGTTCAGACAGACTAAATCTATTTCTGGACAATTATTTAAAAAAATATCACGAGGACTAAAGCAGCGTAGCGGAGCTCCTACCTTAGCCTTCTGACCTAACCCATCCGAGTCAGGCTGCTCTGAGCTGAAATGTGTATAATACTATATTCCACACATCCAGTTCATTTTAAGAATTATCTACAATTCCTAGGAATTCTATGTAATAACGGATTTCATAGATTTCTAGTAACATATGTACTATAATAGGAACGATAATATATTATTATTTTGAGTTGTTATCAGGAAGATGCCGCTGCCCATCTCCTGTTTTATTTTCCCTCTGACACCTCTTACAATACCCTCGGAACGATATGGGGTAGTGGATATTCTCACACCGCCACTACATGGTTTGTTAAAAACCTTAAAAAAATAAATAAAAACACTTTCCATATTAAAATTATTTATTGAAATTTTTCACACCATGTGGATTACTCTATGGCTTTTTGAAGTCCTTACAGATATGAGCAAAGCGCCTTTGAATAATATTTTCAATTTCTGACTGACCCGTATACTTTTAATAGTGTCCATTAAAGAAGACCCATCCTGAATTTTTTAGTTTGGCGCGCCACATTTTGCTTAAGAATCTTAGTTTTCGTCTCAAGTATTTCTTCTTTAATACACTTTATTTTCACTTGCACGCTCCCATTAATCTTCGTGGGATCGTCGTATTCACTGCTGACCTAAGAAAACAAGAAAACTTTATGAAATCAGTATTTTTAGCATCGTACATCGTAGTCATAATAAATAGAAATAAAAGGTATGTATTTAGTAATAAAGGAAAAGGAAACTTACAGGTAATTTGTTAAGATTCATCATTAAGAAATTTTCAAGAATTTTTCAACATTGTTTTTTACTAGTTTGGTCTTCAATATTACAGCCAGTACATTTCACTTCTGTTTCCTTAAGTGCAGAACTACTTTCATAAATGCCAGAACTAGTGCTTGGTACAGCCAGAGCAGCTAATTGCACAATAGACTCTTCATGTAATGCACTTGTTGTCTGCAAATAATAACATATTTTACAAAATGTTGCTTTATATCATACATCTAAACTACTACATTTCTAAATACATAATTATTATAAACGTTATTAAAGTATCAGAATAATAAGAAACAAAAACTAAATAAAAATAAATTGTCTACCAAAAGAATATATTATGTTACTAATTTTTAATTTAATATTATGAAATCTATGAAATCCGTCATTATATAGAATATATAGGAAGTGTACATAATTCCTAAATTTCATGCATAATAAGAAACATGTACATATAATTAGTTAAGGTCACACGGAAAGTCTCAGATACATCGTCAATATGGTCACACTACTTCAGTGCGATTTCTTTTAAACAAAAACAATAAAATTGTTCAAACTTAATTAAATTCTATGTAAAACTATTTGATTTTGACAAAGTTATAATTTACTAATATGTTTAAAACACTGATAAAACGTTTCAGCAAAAAATTAAGTGAAAATACAAAAAGTATGTTTACAAGTATTCAATGTCAGAAGCCACTATTTAAACACTTACGTGTGAAATCTTATATCACTGTTGCCACATTACCGAACTCTTAGGAAATAGGATTGTAATTCACTGATTCGTGAACCCAATAATGCATACGAGACCTTCAATTTTGGAATTTTTAATGTAACTAATCGTAGGTCAACTATTTATTTATTGGTACATTATTTTACAAAGCTTAACTTCTGATTTAGTTAGTGTGGAAATTATTTCTAAGAATTTACCGGGAGATTCAAATAAAAACATAGCAATATTGTGTTCCACACTAAAAAGAGAAGTCAGACCACAGAGAGTGAGATAAAGATACGTAGGTATTTGACTCAAGCTGTTGTTCGAAGTGTGGCCTCCATCTTTATCTATAACTTCATGTAGCTTGCTATCGACATATTTATTTATCTATGGATTAGTTCATAGATAAGAGTGTATATACGATTAGTTGTCTAATGTCTATTGTAGACGTGGGTCGTTACGTCATTTTCAAGAAACGTAACGAAACCAGTGACTTGGTCTGCGTCACCTGTTTCAAAACTAGTGATTTTTGTAACTGGCTATTTTTATTTGGTTACTGTGATTGTTTGCATAAATACCACCAAGAACTATACAGTTACACACGAAACGAAAATAAATTTAATCACTATCTAAGTGTTTCTAGCTATACAGTTAAATCAATAAATTAACTTCGCTTCATACTTTATTCAGGCTTAGAACTGACTGCATTAAATGTATTTATGATTGTTTTGTATTTACTATGAAACTAAGATTTTCATAAAATTATTAATGCATATATATAATGTATTTACAAGTCAATTTGATTGTATATACAATGATTATTGATATTCACAGTTTATTTAAACTTGTACAATCCACACTAATTATATAATATAATAACAAAAAAACGTTACAGTAAATGTACATAAAACACCAAAATAACATATAAATGTAAATTTTTACAAGATAGTATTCAAAATTATAAACAAGTACAACGATGAACTAAAACAAACTAAATTATTTTACTTAAATTCAATGTGACTATCGCTTCCCGGAATTGCAAACCGTTGAAATTATTTACTAGCAAAGATCACTCTATTTATATTGTCTATATCTATAGTCTTACGTATGAAGATTAAACGTACAATAATACTGTTACATACGCTGTTTTGTTTATTGTTGTATGCCACATGTGCGCTTTGCGTTTGATCGACCGACAGTCGACTCTCGCCACAATCACAGTAATAACGCATTTACAAAAATCACTACTTGTAATATGACTCGAAACTAGTGATTCGGTTACATGCCGCGTAGCCAGTTATTGTAACTAGTGACGTGAAATAACGCCCACGTCTAGTCTATTGTCTATTTGGTTGTTGTTGTTGTTTTTTATTGACAAAACAATTATGATTTCCTATAATCGACATTTTAATTTTTAAGTTTTAACCAGTGTTAACGCTGAAAGACCTACAGAACAATAATAATCTATCTTTTGTGATTAAAAATTAAATATAATACAAATAAAGGTTACTAGGCTTTTACGTATCAATAATGAAACGAATATCAGAATATTCGCCTGCAAAATCATATAAGAGAAGAACAAGTTCAGAAGACAGAAATAAAATTGGAAATACTACCTCTATTTTGAAAGAATCTCCAGAAACTGAGTTTAGTTTTCTAGATTACAAAAGGGAAATTAATAAAATATTTACTTATAGTAATGATACCAACACTGTAACCAATAGTCTTGATGACTTTTGGGTGTTTGTAAAAAAATATGAATCTATGTTGAAGAAAGCAGGGAAACCTGTGTTTAGTCTTGAAAATGAAGAAAACAGTAATTGTGAATCAGATACGTTAAAATTTTCAAAATTTGATTGCATTAATTTTAGCACTAATATAAAATTCATGGACAATGTTTGTGACAATAGAGTTAAAAAGAAACTTGATAAAAAAATATTCGATGCAATTTTGAATGTTGTGTCTATATACTTAGATTTTAAAAATAAGGAGAAACTTGACAAATTAAAAAAGTTGAGGCAAACTCAAAAAGATTTGCCTGTTGCAAAATATAGGTTTGTTAATATTTTGTCTCCAATATTAATTCCTCATAGTAGCACATCACGGAAAACTACTGGATAGATTTCAATTAGGTTTCCTATGTTTTATTTCTTACTCACTTGGCAAAAAATTATTGCGATACCTTCATTTAAAATAAAGTTATTAAAGTTTTAAGAAACAACAATTTTTATAAGCACTACGTGTTCAGTGATCTGTGTTTTCTTGCCGCGGAGAAGTAGGGCAATCGTTGTAGCGTACCTGGGTTGGGGAAGGAAAGTCGCTTCTACCTCTGCTTCATGATAAAGTTAGAGTTATATATATATATATATATATATATATATATATAGTTAAGTAAATAGGTTATTTTTAACAGGGGTGAAATTCAAGCAGCAGTGAAAAATGAAAAAGTTGTGATTGTTGCTGGTGATACAGGTTGTGGGAAGTCAACACAGGTACCTCAGTATTTGCATGATGCTGGTTTCGAAAATATTGGTAATTATTGTCTAATAAAATATATTTACACTTATATTTTTAAGAAATTTAATCAAAAGTTTTGTAAATGTAAAGGTGGTGCTTTAGATGTCAAGTTGTAGAAAATATCATGTTGCAAACTAAGGTTTCATAAAAAATAATTAATTGTAATTTATTGCAGCATGTACTCAACCAAGAAGAATTGCTTGTGTGTCATTATCAAAGCGGGTTGCTTTTGAGACTCTTACACAATTTGAAAGTAAAGTTGGATATCAGATAAGGTTTGAGAAGAGCAAATCTGCCGATACAAAAATATGTTTCATTACTGAAGGGCTGCTGTTGCGACAGGTATATTCATAATTCTTATTGATACAAAACGGTTAAATTTGCTAATATTTAAATAATTATAAGGGTGCTTTTATTAAGGGACTTACTTATTCGGCAATTCAATAAATTAAATATGAGAAAACTAGCAAAAATATGTAATACCACTTAGGATAGCTCAGAAGCGGTCACTCCGTCCCTCTTGCAATCACTTTCACTATCACTACCACTGTCTAGGCAGGAAAATTTGCAATAAAAACGCAGTATTTAACGCGCGCTTTTGGCCTTGATATCAAGGGCACCTTCCCTCTCCCCCGCCCCCTCGGCCGCCGGATGGGTCGGCGTGGCTCTTCTCGCGCGGTAGTAGGATTTTTCTTGCGAACTATACGGACGTATTTTTTAGCGCCTAAACTTGCTAAAGGAACAATCCGCGTAAATCGTTGCAATAACGGTATCGTTATTAGAACGTACTAACTCGGTGAAATTCGCGCGCAACTATCAAAGTGATTTACATCTGAAGGACTACCAGAGTAGCCGTCCCATTTGGTGACAACCCCTTACGAGTGCCTCCAGAAGGGTGAAGTTCCGGGGATACCAGCGCGTGCCTTCTCCCGGACGTCGTCGAGTCATCCAGATCGGTTCCCGTCAACATACCAGCACACACAATTACACCTACACTCACAACACACCAAGCACAACTTTCATCAGCCGGGCCGGTCGAGGAGAACCGTCTGCGCTCCTGGGGCAGGTAAGTGCATTTATTCTGGTGACCTTTCCCCTCGTGTGTTCATTAGAAACCTTTGACCCTCGGCGTAGGAACGCCCGACCTGCATCTGCCCGTGGCTCCTTCGTCTATGGGCCGCGAAGGATCCAACTCCTGTTGAGGCAGGGCAGCTGTTGGCCGTAACATTTGGTAGCAGAACGCGGTGCTGGGATCGATTCCCGGTCGATCCACCGACCATAGTATTTGATAAAAATTAAATAATTTGGTGGCAGGAGCGTTGGGTGGATTTGTGGCTACAATCACGCCCGTCCGTAATACGTAAAATACCTTTTTATTATTATACGTAATAATAAAATTCCTTCCTTTGTTAGCTTGCTTTACTGTTAGCGGGTAAAATTGAAAGGTCACAGCCGGTTCGCGCGCAAGCGGGAGATTGCGTCATGTAGGTAGATGGTTATTTTTACGTAATCGGTTAATTGTCGTTGTCGGATGGTAGTGTGTTACTTATCGAAGGGTTGATTTCCGAGCAAGGCATTTTTGTTGATGTGTATCTTCGTTACATATCTTTCGTATTGTAAATTGTATTTGAACTAAAGAGTGGTAATTTGTATTTACGTAATTTAAATGAACCTGATTTGATCGTACTAGTATTTGTTATTGTTGATTTGATTTACCTTTTCCTTTGTACTAACTTGTGTTTGATTTAATAATAGCTGTTCTTATTTGTGTACATTCTATCCAACTCGATTTGATAGGAACTGCATTAGTTAGCTGTTAATTTTTTTGTATTTTTATTTGTTATTGTTGTAATTGTGCTCGAGCCGCGTCGTAATTTGAATTTAGTAGTGATGTCCTCGCCCAAGATGCTAATCCGTTGCCTGCGGACTGAGCTGCGCTGGGCTACCAGCGCACACGCGTTGATAGGCCGACCGGACAGGGTCTACAATCTGAGGAAGAGGCTTGAGCAGGTCGATGCTCGAAGGGCGGCCGTGGAGGAGGCTTACTCTGAGCTCGAGGACTTGGAGGTGGAAAAGGGAGTCCTGGAATCTTGCCGCGCGGACTACGAGCAGTTCCTCGCGCTGACGGACGACCTGATCGAGGCGGGGGCCAAGGATGCGGAGAGGGAGCGCGAAGCTCGGCTGAGTAGCCTTCTCGAGTCCCCGCGGAAGCCGTCTGCTCAGCCAGAGCTGCTAGGACGACTTCCGACGCTGGACCTGCCAAGGTTCTCCGGGGTCCTCTCGGAGTGGATGACCTTCGTCGGCCTGTTTGACAGCCTGGTGGACGCCCGGAGGGACCTGACCCCCTGCCAAAAAATGGGGTACCTCCTGGCTTCACTAGAGGGGGAGGCCCTGAGCGTCGTCGGCCACCTTAAGTTGTCGGACGACGCCTACCAAAACGCCAGGGACCTCCTCGCTGGAAGGTACGCCAACGTCCGGCGGATTGCGGACGATCATGTTCGGAGGCTGCTGAACCTCCCGCTGCTGAAGGACCGGACTAGACTACGTGAAGACATAGTGAATCCAGTCGTCGTAGCGTGCAACTCGTTGCGGCGGCTGGATTTACCTGTGGACGAGTGGTCTTTTCTGCTCCTTCATATAGTGCTGTCCCGCCTGCCTCTCGACCTTCGGCTCCATTTTGAGGAGAGGTTCGGAGGGGATGGCGCCTCTTATATGCCCCCCTTTAGGGACCTGCTGCGGTTCCTGGAAGAGCAGTGCAGGCTGCTGGAGAACGCAGCAGGCGCCGTCGAGGGCCCCCCGGCCTCCTCCCGAGCGGTGCCCAGGGAAAGGCGGAGTCAGCCGGCCAAGGCGGCGCCCACCCCCCTGAGGCCGAGTGGAGCCCCCGCGGGAGGGCGCCCCCCCGTACCCTCCTATAGTGGCCTAGCGGCCCGGGAGGCGCCTCCCTGCTCCTATTGTCGAGCATCCGACCACCGGCCGGCGTCGTGCCCGAAGTTGTTGCGCAAGCCGGCTAAGGCGAGGCGAACCATCGCCAGGGAGCGCCGCTGGTGCTTCTCGTGCCTGGAGAGGCATTTACAACGAGACTGCCCGCACCAGCGGCCATGCACGCACTGCCAGGGCAACCACAACGTCCTCTTGTGCCTGGGTGCGCGCGGCTCGTCCTCGCAGGGCCCTGCCAGCCCCCCGACTCCCACGGGCGGGGGCGCCCAGCCACGCCCACTGTCGGGCGACGCTCGGCGCTCACCGGCGGACCGCAGCGCCCCTCCTTCTGAAGGGAGCCCCTCCCCCGATCGGTCGGGGAGTCGTTCCCCCAGGGGCGGGGGGGGTCTTCACCCCCCCTCCCCGAGTTGATAGTGGATTCGCGGCCACTCAGCGGTCAGCTAGACCTTTCTCACCCCCGTTGGCTGAGTGGCCGCGACTGGAACGCCGCCCGCCCCCCTTTGGCCGGTGCCGGTACTACCGGGTTCCGGAGACTGCGTATCGGCCCCGAGCCTTGGAGCCGAGGATCCCCGAGTTTCCCTCGGCCGGCCCGTTCGGGGAATTCCAGTCGGGGGTCATCGAGACGTCGTCGGAGTGCCGCGGTCGGGCCCCCCGGTTCGGGTGCCGGCCTAACAGAGGCAGCTCCAGATAGGAGGCTGCCGCCCTAGCTCCCGCCATGGCCGCCTCCACTGAGCCTATAAGTCGTCAGCAGTCCACCTGTCAAACTGTTCTATTGCCGACAGCCTCAGTGAAGGTTTACAACCCGAGCGGCGACCACTTAACGGTTCGAGCTCTATTGGACTCGGGTTCCCAGCGTAGTGTGGCCTCTACTCGGTTGGTGGGAAGACTGGGGCTCCCCTGGAGCTCTGAATCACGTCCGATGGTAGGTATCGGAGGTGCCGAGCCTCCTGCTCCTAGGGGACAATCGGAGTTGGTGTTCAGCCCTGACAGCGAACACCTTCGTATTTTAGTCAAGGTAAATGTCCTCGACGACATTGTAGGGTTCCTCCCTAACGTTCGTATAAATGACAGCGCTGTGCGCTGTGCGTCGGCTTTGAGACCGGCAGACCCTCGGTGGGCCCAACCGGGGCCGATAGATTTGTTACTGGGGGCCGACACGCTGGGTGCCCTCTTGTTAGGTGAGATACGAGCTCTGCAGCCCAATGGCCTGTCAGCCATTTCCACGATATTTGTGCACAGCTTTTTTGGACCGGTTATGTGGTCTCCTCCCTCTCTGATGGCCGACCCTCTCTCCGTCGTGGGCGTGTCCCTATCGGACGCTGTCCAGCGATTCTGGGACATTGAGGAACCACCCCATGCAGCTCGAGTCGACCCTCTGGACCGTGAGTGTGAGTTGTTCTACCAGAACAATACCGGCCTGCGGGTTGACGGTCGTTTCGTCACTCGCTTACCCTTTCTGGACTCCCGCCCCTCTTTGGGTCAATCCCGTGCTCTGGCCGAGAAGAGGTTGCTTTCCATGGAGCGCCGCATGCGGCGTGACCCAGCCTTTCGCGACAAATATGTCAAGTTCATGCGCGAGTATCAGGAGCTGGGTCACATGTCACCGTCCAACTTCGAATGGCGTTCACATGAGCACTACTTCCTCCCTCACCATGCGGTCTTGAGGACCCCTGAGAGTAAGATTCGGGTAGTCTTTGACGGTTCCGCCCCCACATCAAACGGTGTGTCCCTGAATCAGTGTCTTCACTCGGGTCCTAAACTGATCAAGGACATATCCGACATCCTGACCCAATTCCGTCGACACCAAGTGGTTTTTGTCGCGGACATTCGGATGATGTTTCGCCAATCGGTGGTACATCGTGATGACCGCCGATATCAGCTGATATTGTGGCGCGAGAAGCCCAGCGATCCCATACAGGTATTTGAGTTGAACACCACCACTTATGGACTCCGGTCCAGCCCGTATATCGCCATGCGAACCCTCCTTGAACTCGCTGAGAGAGAGCGCCTGAGATACGCTCGGGGAGCTTCTATCTTAGAGACTTCGGTCTACATGGACGACATTTGTACGGGCGCTTCCACCGTCGAGGAGGCTCTGGTCTTGCGAGGCGAATTAATTGCCATCCTGAAGTCTGGAGGCTATGAGTTGCGCAAGTGGCTGTCGAACTCCCCACACATTTTGAGGGACCTCCCAGGAGAGGATCAACAAGACCCTCATCTGTTCGAGCACCCTGAGAATCCTAATTTGCTGACTGTGCTGGGCATTCAATATCAGCCTGTTCAGGACACCTTCACGTATAGAGTAAAACTTGACCCACCTCCCAAAGCATGGACCAAGCGCTCCGTGCTGTCTACAGTAGCTCGCACCTTCGACCCGAATGGATGGATCACCCCGGTCATCTTTTTGGCTAAGTGCTTTCTTCAAAAGCTCTGGATGTCCGGGTTGGGTTGGGACGAGCCTATTAGCGGGGTCCTCTTGCGAGAGTGGCTCTCCATGCTCTCCTCCCTTCCGGACATCAACCGGGTTTCCATGCCAAGGTGCTTCCTACCTCCAGGGAAATGCAGGGCTACCCTACATGGGTTTTGCGACGCCTCTGAGAAGGGCTATGCTGCTGTCGTATATTTGCGGACTGTGAGTTCCTCTGGGCATACTGCAGTTCATCTCGTACTCGCCAAAAGCAAGGTTGCTCCCATTAGATCCCGTTTAACTATCCCTAAATTGGAACTGTCCGGAGCCGCTCTTCTCACGCGGCTCCTCAACCACGTTCACTCGTCCTTGAAGCCTGTAATCGACATTACGGACGTCTACGCATGGTCGGACAGTGAGATAGTACTTTGTTGGCTCCGAGCCGCACCTCACAATCTTGAGGTCTTTGTGGCGAACCGCGTGTCTCAAATCCAGAGTTCTGAGACTTCTCTCCACTGGAGACATGTCCCCGGGGAGTTGAATCCCGCCGACTGCGCTTCCCGCGGCTGTGAGGACCCCGCGCTGGTTGCCCACTCATTGTGGTGGGGTCCCGGTTGGTTATCTGATCCTCAATCCTTCTGGCCCCAGGGTAATTACTCCGAACCTACTGAGTTGCCGGGCCTACGGGCCCGAGTAGGAGTGGGCAAGGATAAGCCCACTCGGGATCTCTCCCTTCTGGAACGGTACAGCTCTCTCGATAAGCTCTTAGGAGTGACTGCTTGGCTGCGCCGCTTTGTCCACAATTCGAGAGATCCGTCCAACCGACTCTCTGATTGCGTTTTGTCCCCTAGCGAGCGTCGGGAAGCACTGATGCATTGGATCCGTATGGTCCAGACGGAGCATTTTGAGCCCGTTATCGAACACTTGAAGCGTGGCTCCGTTATCAAGGGCGCTCTGGCCCGCCTGAACCTCTTTCTGGACGACGCTGGGATGCTGCGCGTGGGCGGACGTTTGAAAAACTCTCAACTGCCGTGCGGGGCTCGACACCCGTTGCTGCTCCCTAAGGACGGCGCCCTTGTCCGGTTGCTGGTAACCCACCACCATGTTAGGAATGCCCACGCTGGGTGTAACGCCCTGTCGGCTATTTTGCAGCGGGAGTTTTGGATTTTGTCTGGTCGTCGCACCATTCGGAGCGTCATCTTTAAGTGCATCCCCTGTTATAAACTGAAGGCCCCCATATCGCAGCCTCTTATGGGTGACTTGCCGCCCGACCGCGTCAGGGCCATCCGACCATTCGCTGGGGTCGGAACAGACTTCGCTGGCCCCTTCCTCGTCAAGTCCTCTAACCTTCGTAACGCGCGTTCATGTAAGGCCTATCTTTGCGTCTTCGTGTGCCTCTCCACTAAAGCCGTTCACTTGGAACTGGTGAGCGCCCTCAGCACGGAAGCCTTCTTGGCCACGCTTGGCCGTTTCGTGTCGCGGCGCGGCTTGCCGGACTTGATCCGGTCTGACTGCGGGACGAATTATAAGGGCACGGATAGGTATCTCAAGGAGGTTGTCGAATTTCTGTCCAGCCACCGGACTTATTTAGGAAATGCTATGTCGAAAAGGGGCATCCAGTGGAAATTCGACCCTCCGGCGTGTCCCCACTGGGGCGGTATTTTCGAGGCGGTGGTTAAGGTTGCCAAAACGCATCTCCGTCGCGTTATTGGTGAAGCCATTTTGACGTTTGAGGAGCTCGCCACTGTATTCTGTAAAATTGAGGCGGTACTCAACTCTCGGCCCCTCTGCCCCCTCTCCTCTGACCCGAATGATTTGGAGGTTCTAACCCCGGGACACTTCCTGATTGGCCAGCCTCTTAACGCTCTGCCCGAGTATCCCTTCAGGGAAACGAGTGCTTCACGGCTTAGCAGGTTTGCCCTGCTGCAACAGATGACTCAACGCTTTTGGCACCGATGGTCTCTGGAGTACCTACATCTTTTGCAGCAGCGCGTTAAGTGGTCTGACAAGACGGAGCCTCCTCGGGTGGGAGACCTCGTGTTGATTAAAGAACCAAACGCGCTACCTTTGTATTGGCGCCGTGGGCGCATTGTTAAATTGTCGTATGGAACGGATGGGGTGCCTAGAGTGGCCGAGGTTTTGGTCGGAGATTCGGTCTTGCAACGGGCCGTCGCGACCTTGTCCCGTTTGCCAATCTACTCGCGGACTTAATGCCTTATGTCCGGGGCGGGGGGTTGTCTAGGCAGGAAAATTTGCAATAAAAACGCAGTATTTAACGCGCGCTTTTGGCCTTGATATCAAGGGCACCTTCCCTCTCCCCCGCCCCCTCGGCCGCCGGATGGGTCGGCGTGGCTCTTCTCGCGCGGTAGTAGGATTTTTCTTGCGAACTATACGGACGTATTTTTTCGCGCCTAAACTTGCTAAAGGAACAATCCGCGTAAATCGTTGCAATAACGGTATCGTTATTAGAACGTACTAACTCGGTGAAATTCGCGCGCAACTATCAAAGTGATTTACATCTGAAGGACTACCAGAGTAGCCGTCCCATTTGGTGACAACCCCTTACGAGTGCCTCCAGAAGGGTGAAGTTCCGGGGATACCAGCGCGTGCCTTCTCCCGGACGTCGTCGAGTCATCCAGATCGGTTCCCGTCAACATACCAGCACACACAATTACACCTACACTCACAACACACCAAGCACAACTTTCATCAGCCGGGCCGGTCGAGGAGAACCGTCTGCGCTCCTGGGGCAGGTAAGTGCATTTATTCTGGTGACCTTTCCCCTCGTGTGTTCATTAGAAACCTTTGACCCTCGGCGTAGGAACGCCCGACCTGCATCTGCCCGTGGCTCCTTCGTCTATGGGCCGCGAAGGATCCAACTCCTGTTGAGGCAGGGCAGCTGTTGGCCGTAACAACCACAAAGAAGTGAAAGCAAGCGATAGAAATATCTTTGGGATTTAAATAAGATTATTTCATAAAAAATATAAATAAATTTATTTTTAATATGTGAAACAATTTTGTGAATTTTTTCAGATGTCATCAGAAAATCTGCCAAACTATGATGTTATTATATTAGATGAGATACATGAAAGACATTTAATGGGAGACTTTTTGCTTGGCGTACTCAAGTGCCTAATACATAGCCGTAATGATATAAAGTTAGTGCTTATGTCTGCTACAATCAATATAAAACTTTTTGAAGATTACTTTTCTGCAGAATCAGCTGTTGTTATTCAAGTAAGTAATTATATTTAATACAGTCAAAACCGGATATAACGACATTGAAGGGACCATATAACTTCGGATGTTATATCCGATAGTTGTTATAAGCAATATACACAAGTATACAAACATAAAAATATTTATTCTGAAAAACTTGCAGGACCAACAGTACAGCTTATAGACTACAATAAGTTTTTAAAGTAATCAGTAATTTTGGTCTGTTTTTTTTTAAGCCGAGTTTCAAATGTGTTTTGCATTTTACGTTTCATTCTCGTCAAGATTGCTTGATTATCATCAGCATTAAACTCTTCGTTAAAAGCAACAAATTTTTGTAAAACTATTATAGCATTAATAGCCTCGCATAGTGTTGTTAGTTGGAACTGCTCTTGGGGGTCTTCGTTTTCTTCATCAGTGTTACGATTATTACTTTCAATTTCTGCAAGAATCTCTTCCTCAGTAACTACGGCGCACACGTCGGATGGGGTGGAAAAAAGTGCGTAGGCATAATTCAAAACATTCCTTCATAGATTAGAATAAGTTTGAAAATTGTTCGTTTTGTTTTATTTTACAAGCACAACGGTTGGTCGTTATAGCCGATGAATATCGATAAAGTTCCGTCGTTCTGAGCGATATGTCGCTGTATCCGATGTTGTTATAGGTGGTATGTTTACTTAACTGTTTATTAGGGATTTGGCCGGGACCTTACCATTCAGACTGGCCTGTTGGTCTAGTGGTTAGTGACCCTGACTGCTACGCCGGAGGTCGTGGGTTCGATTCCCACCCAGGACAAATGTTTGTGTGATGAGCACGATCATTTGTTCTGTGTCTGGGTGTAATTTATCTATAACACAAGCTCTGCTTAGCTTGGGACAAGATGGCGTTGTTTGATAGTTGTGGAATATTATTATATTATTATTATTATTATTATTCGGTCGTAATAACCGATTCGTCGTTATAAACGATGTCGTTATATTCGGTTTCGACTGTACCTATATACAGCATAGAGTCTGGTTTCATAAAATAAATGATAACTTTATACAGTATTTTCATTTCTTATACAAAAATCAATATTGAAATAAATTTTTATATGGAATTTTATTTTATTTTAATATTTGTTATATTTAAGTACACATGACCTAGATAACTAAAAACACTAACTAGAAACACTAACTTTATATTTTATACTACATTTTAAATATAACATTAAAATAAGCTATTATTGGTTTTTCATGTCACTACCCTTAGCTCTCACCACACTACCAAAGATTAGCTGACAGAGAATGCTATTTTGGCATTATGTTTGTGGCATTATGTTTTGTAGCAATTATTTTAAGCACAACAAAGTTTTTGTTATTTATCGAACTTTTTTATTAGGCGAAGGGTCAATAAACTGTACCTAAAAATAAAGAATGTGATGTTACTGCTTTTAAAGGTTACATGATGAGTTTTATTTAATTGTTCATTTATTACAGCTTATCAAAGTTTAATGCTAAATTTGGGCCTCCCCATAGACTGTCTCATTATATTTACCATAGTTGATACACATGGCGGGCAACCGCAGTTTTTTTTTATTATTATTAGTTGTTATCAGCAGGGCTAACATGGGCAGGAGACAATTTTATCCCCGGGGAAAGGAGAATATGTTTATCTCCTCGCTTAGTTTTATCCATGAAGCAAATATAAAGAGGAGACGGCATAAGCAACTATGCACTGTGATTCTAAGTAGGTCCTGACGTCATCATAGTGGGCGTGGCTTTAGTTAGTATACTGACAGCATTTGTCCTGTGCGCTTATGTGTTGAAAACATTGCAAATCGGTGTATTTTTGTAGTATTAAAAAGAAAAGGATGAAGTGTTGTGTTTTATCGTGTAAATACTACTCAGATAGACGCTCTGATGTTATGGATGGCATCACATTTCATTTGTAAATAATTTTACACCAAATTTATTATAATAGTTCTAGAAAAATCTCTTTGTGTCAGCTTTCAAATATAATTAAATATATTTGACACTAGATGGCGCAACTTTGTGTCATGTGAACTAAAAATATAAAGGTCTGTAGAACTCAGTATTGGTAAAATAATCATACGAAGGTGCTGAAATTTGTTTTGCATTCAGACATAAAGAAATTTTAATCGCAAAATATTATTTTTATAGTTTATAATCATTTTGAGAACAGGCCGTATTCTCGTCAAGTAAACCTCATAAAAAATAACAAAAAGACAGGGCCGTAATTAGAATTCAATTATTTTACCCAGCAATCCAACTTTCAATATTAAAATGAAGGAAATTGTACTTGGGCTGATTTTTACGAAATGTTTAAGTTATATTTAAGTGACATTCTATATGCAAAGAATCACTTAGATACAATTGAATGTTCTTAGTTTGGTATTCAAACAGTGCATTCGGATGCCTAATTTGGAATAAAATATTTATATTTTAATTGATTTGTAAATAAAATTATAATAATTTGTCTACAATTTGTTCTCCCTCAGAGATATTAAGTAGTATAACTCACACATAAATAATAGTCCATCCGTTTCTGCGTGAAAAAATTACACATACACAGTACATACTTAGTGTGGAATAAGCTCAAGGAGACAGAAAGAACATCAAACTTTCCCTTTTATAATATTAGTGAGATAAGTAGGATATTTAGTTTCAAAAAGACTTTATTTTACTAAGGATAAAATAAATATTTCCTGAAGGTTGACTTTCACAATATGATAAACATATTTAAATTGTATTTAAGTGATTCTTTGGATATATAATGTCACTTAAATATAACTTAAACATTTCGTAAAAATCAACCAAGTACAATTTCCTTCATTTCATATTGAATGTTGGGTTACTGGGTAAAATAATTGAATTGTAATTACGGACTTGTCCTTTTGTTATTTTTATGAGGTTTACTTGACGATAGATGGCGGCCTGTTCACAAAATCATTATGAAAACTAAAAAAATAATATTTTGGCGATTAAAATTTTTTTGTCTGAATGTATTTGCTTCACGAGATAGACACTCCGATGCTATGGATGGCATCACATTTCATTTGTAAGTAATTTTACACCTAATTTATTTAAATAGTTCTAGAATAATCTCTTTGCATCGCCTTTCAAATATAATTAAATATATTCGACACTAGATGGCGACACTTTGTGTCATGTGAACTAAAAATATAAAGGTACGTAGAGCTCAGTAATGATAAAATAATCATACGAAGGTGCTGAAATTTGTTTTGCATTCAGACAAAGAAATTTTAATCGCCAAAATATTATTTTTATAGTTTAATATATTTTGCCGTGTAGTGGCGGTTAAGAATATCCACTACCCCATATCTTCCCGTGGGTGTCGTAAAAGGCGACAAAGGGAAACAGGCAGGAGATGGGCAGCAGCATCTTCCTGGTAACGACAAAATACAATAAAAAACTGCGGTTGCCAACCCGCTCGCCAAGCGTGGCAACTATGGCAATATACCCCCCATAATGAAAGTTACGAAGAGACGGCCCCCAGTCCCCGGTGGCCCCGCTATTCCTGGCTACGGTGGCGACCATGGTAACGGCGGGGCAGGGGGTGCTAAGAATCTCCGTTGGAGGTTCGGTTGCCACCTACAACGACTCGACCTGGCAACATACAACGCACGCACCCTGAGGACTGACGAGAAGATTGTGGAGCTGGAAGAAGAGATAGACAAGTTACGCTGGCATATTATAGGATTATCCGAAGTCCGAAGAGAGGGGGAGGACACGGTAATCCTCGAATCCGGCAACTTGCTCTATCACCGGGAGGGCGACCATCTGTCCCAAGGAGGTGTCGGATTTATCGTCCACAAGTCTCTCGTTAACAACGTTGTAAAGATTGAGAGTGTGTCGACGAGGGTTGCGTACCTTATACTCAGAATCACCAAACGGTATTCGCTGAAGGTCATACAGGTTTACGCACCAACCTCGGCACACCCCGATCAGGAGGTGGAGGAAATGTATGAGGATATCTCTAGAGCCATGCATTCCTCCAAAACCCAATATACGGTGTTAATGGGAGACTTCAATGCAAAACTAGGCACAAGAGAGAACGGTGAGCTGAAAGTGGGGAAATTTGGAATAGGGCAACGGAACCCAAGGGGCCAGCAGTTGGCCGACTTCATGGAGAAAGAGGGACTCTTTATGATGAACTCTTTCTTCCAGAAGCGGCCCCACAGGAAGTGGACCTGGTCGAGCCCCGACGGTTCGACAAAAAATGAGATTGACTTCATTATGACGACCAGACGACAACTGTTCAGTGATGTCTCAGTGATCGCGAGGGTGAAAACCGGCAGCGATCACCGAATGGTTAGAGGCACACTGAACCTAAACGTTAAGTTGGAGAGGTCTCGTCTAATGAAGTCAACGCTCCGTCCCCCTCGTGCTCTAATCCAAAGTCCCGAAACCTTTCAGCTCGAGTTGCAAAACCGTTTTCAGTGCCTAGAAGACTGCAATGAAGTGGACGATTTGAATGACAAGCTCGTGGAAACTGTCCATGCGGTCGGAGCTAAGTTCTGCAAGACCCGCCGCAGAAGAACACAAAAACTCTCCGATCACACTCTTAATCTCATGGCTGTTAGACGGGAGATGAAGCTACATTCTTCAACAGATTTGACAGCATACAGGCAACTGAACAGACAGATCTCCAAATGCATGCGGCGGGACTTACGCAACTTCAATACAGCTCGTATTGAAGAAGCGATCGAGCGGAACCAAGGCTCCAAAGTCTTTGCCAGAGATCTGTCTGCCAGAAAGAGCCAACTGTCAAAGCTGAAGACCGAATGTGGCAGCATCGTTTCCGGGGCACCTGAGATTTTGAGTGAGATTGAGAGGTTCTATGGGCAGCTGTACACGTCATCGTTGGAGCCACACGCAAGTGTGAGTAACGATCCAAGAGCGAGTCTTATCCGACATTATTCCGATGATATCCCGGACGTCAGTCTGAGCGAGATTAGAATGGCTCTCCAGCACCTTAAAAACGGCAAGGCCCCAGGCCAGGATGGAATTACAGCGGAGCTTCTGAAAGCGGGTGGAAAACCGGTACTTGAAGTCCTTCAGAAGCTCTTTAATTCCGTCCTCCATGGTGGCATTACACCGGAGGCGTGGAGCAGAAGTGCGGTGGTCTTGTTCTTCAAGAAAGGCGACAACGCTCTCTTGAAGAACTACAGACCGATTTCCCTTCTGAGCCGCGTCTACGTGCTGTTTTCGAGAGTCATTACGAATCGTCTCGCGCGCAGACTTGACGACTTCCAGCCTCCCGAACAAGCCGGTTTCCGAAAAGGCTTTAGCACCATAGACCACATACATACCCTTCGGCAAATTGTACAGAAGTCCGAGGAGTACAATTTGCCACTATGTCTGGCGTATGTGGACTATGAGAAAGCCTTTGATTCCGTCGAAATTTGGGCGGTGCTGCAGTCCCTTCAGCGATGCCAAGTTGACTGTCGGTATATCGAAGTGTTGAAGTGCTTGTACAGTAGGGCTACGATGGCTATCCGAGTACAGAACCAGAGTACGAAACCTATCCAATTGCAGAGAGGTGTAAGACAGGGTGACGTCATATCCCCGAAACTCTTCACCGCTGCATTGGAAGACGTTTTCAAGCTTCTGGACTGGAAAGGATACGGTATCAACATCAATGGCGAGTACATCACTCACCTTCGATTTGCCGACGATATAGTCCTTATGGCAGAATCGCTGGAGGACCTAAGCACTATGCTCAATGACCTCAATAGTGTTTCCCAACGGATAGGTCTTAAGATGAACATGGACAAAACAAAGATCATGTTTAATGTCCATGTCACACCTATGCCGGTAGTTGTTGGGAACACTAAGCTCGAAGTTGTTGACGAGTATGTTTACCTGGGACAAATAGTCCGACTAGGTAAGTCCAACTTCGACCGAGAGGTCAATCGACGGATTCAACTCGGTTGGGCAGCGTTCGGGAAATTACGGCACATCTTCTCGTCAGGTATACCTCAAAACTTGAAAACGAGACTGTACACCCAGTGCGTGTTGCCAGTGATGACATACGGAACTGAGACGTGGTCCTTCACTGCTGGCCGGATGAGGAAGCTCAAGGTCGCTCAGCGAGCTATGGAGAGGGCTATGCTCGGAGTTTCTCTGCGTGATAAACTCAGAAATGAGGATATCCGCAGTAGAACCAGAGTGACCGACATAGCCCAACGGATTAGTAAGCTGAAGTGGCAATGGGCCGGCCATATGGCTCGAAGAACCGACAACCGATGGGGAAGAAAGGTTCTCGAGTGGCAGCCTCGTACCGGCAGGCGAAGTGTAGGGCGTCCCCCCACTAGATGGAGTGACGACCTGGTAAGATTTGCAGGAAGTCGATGGATGCAGGTGGCTCAGGACCGTGCTTTGTGGCATTCTTTGGGGGAGGCCTATGTTCAGCAGTGGACTTGTGAAGGGCTGTAATGATGATGATGAATATATTTTGTGGACAGGCCGCCATCTACCGTCAAGGTAGCTAAACTACATTGCAACATGGATATGGAACGATTCGAATAGTTTTACTATTTATCGCTAGATGTAGATAGTGTAAAATGGGCGGGGCTTTGCATCCCCTCACTCCGCAAATTGTCACGCGTTGTTACATAGTGAAATTTAATGACAACGTCTCCTCTTAGTATTTGCTTCATGGTTTTATCCACCCTTCGAGCATGGGCACACTGGTGGATATAATATCCACAGTAGATTAAATGAGAGATAGACTTAGATAGATTTTTTGTATGAATATAAACTTAAACCCACGTCCATTGAACTAGGATAAAATTGTCTCTTTCAAATGTCAAAAAAGTATAATTTTTTCTTGCATTTGGCTCCATGCTATGGATGGGGGATATATGTCTACTCGTTATGTGAAATGTTGCCGTGCTTTAGTTTAAGGACAAGATAATTTTATCTCTTGCGAGTGGATATAATCGGGGGATAAATTTTTTGTCCCTGCCCATGCTAGCCGTGCAGAAAGATGTTTCTGTTCATCTCCTGTTTTGTTAACCTTTATCGCCTTTCACGACACTCACGGGATGATATGGGTTAGTGGATTCTCTTACGAATTTACTGCACATTCTCTTACTAACTTCCGAGCTAATTACTTACTAGCTTACTAACTTCTAATTAAGTATAAAAAGTAAATTTGTCCACTCCTCTTATTCCTGAGATGGTGGCAGTAAATATTTGGCCGCACATGTTGTTAATAATAATATAAGTTTCACTGGTATCGGCGACGATAGAACCCTGTTGTTATCGTAGAGATCTATAGAGATCTAAACAACCACTATTTTGACTTCTGTGGTGGTGATAGTAATTGCATGATGGTACCATGGAAAAGTTTGTATTTTTTTTAAAACTCTGTTTGGCTTTTAATAAAAAAATACTTCATTAATGATCTTTTGAGTAAGTAAATATTTATATAAAATATACCTTTCCATTTTTAAACTTAGTTATAACTAAAGCTAAATTATTACATTTTTAGGTGCCAGGAAGACTGTACCCCATAGATTTACATTATAAACCGATATTTATAGAAGACAAACCAACAAGAGACGACAGGCTTGATCCACAGCCATATGTTCAAATAATGCAGCTAATAGACAGCAAATATCCAAGTTAGTAAAATGATACGAGTTTCATTGTTATAGACATTATAAGAGAAAATGAAATGAATATGAGACGGGCCAGTAGCGGCGGCGTAAGAGAATTCAGTACCCCAAGTTATCCGGTGGGTGTAGTAAGAAGCGACAGAGGGAAACTGAAACGGGAGATGGGTATTGAGATAATATTATAAATCAATATGTACCTTTTCGGTAGATAACGCCTATTGGCACCACTTAATTAGTCCATAACGTTAAAATGTGATATGTTTGAAATTATTTATAGCATTTTTACAGTTTTACAGCTAAAGTGTATAATGATGAAATTTCATTAATAGAATCAGGCGTTACTTTGCGGAAATCCATTATATAAAAGCTTTTAGAAAAATTTACTTCGCAAATATCCGCGTTATAAAATAAAATGATGTGTCTTACCTAGTATGAAGAGCGGTTAGCCACCGTAGAGACTATATCATCTGAGGATGCCTCGTGTAGAGGCGAAACACGTATCGTATTGTCGTCAGTGGTGTGTCTTGCCTAGTGTAGTGGTGTTGGGAGTAGCGGTGCTGGGATCAGTGGTGACGGGGATAGTGCACGCAATTGCTCTTCATACTAGGTAAGACACATCATTTTATTTTATAACGCGGATATTTGCGAAGTAAATTTTTAGCTTTTGATGAAATTTCATCCTCTTAAACAGAATCATTTTATGCCAAATACAGAATTTATTATAGTGATGAAATTATAGATTCCTATAAATACCTAGTCTGATTTATGCGTTTTTGGAATACAGTAACATAACACACAATATAATATATATATAAAATACAGTATAGTAAGTAGTAACAGAAAGTTATTATTGTTTTTACAAATTTCAATATTTTTCAGGTGATGAAAGAGGCGACCTGTTAATATTTATGTCGGGTGTGCAGGAAATTACTTCAATTTGTGATGCAGCACAACAGTATGCAGAGAAAACAAAGAAATGGATAGTTCTCCCTCTTCACAGTGGTCTATCGCTCATCGAGCAAGATAAAGTAAGTATTCTAGCTATAAGTGTCATGATTAATTTAGTCAGCCGTTACTTTTCAGAAATTCTTTAAAGTATCAAAGATGTTAAAAATTATTTCGCTAAGTTCTGAGTAATGAAAATATGACGTACTATCCTCGTCATCACTAATCCCAATCACAACTCCCAACACTACACTAGGAAAGACACTCTACCGTCGATTATCGATGGGTTTTGAATGAAAGAACTAGTTAATTCAACGTCGACGTACTGTGAACTAGTTAGACGATTTATGAACAACCAATGAACTAGTCGAATCTGTAGAAGGTTAAATTGAAACGCCATAACGTTAATTTCGACTAGAAACGCGAGGACCCACGCGAGAACGTGGTCGGATAATATTAGTTCATATTATGTTCGTTGAAATGTCATAATTGCGCAAACAAATTAGAACTCTAAATGTAGACAGCGTAAGAGTATAAATAGCAGTTTGTTATTGTTTTAAGTGGAGAAAAGGATGCCGTCATAGTATCATCGCGTGTACAAAAGAGAAGGGCGACTTAATAATAGACGACGTAATAGTTAATACATCGTACCGTTAGACGCCCATTACACGGTAGGTTTTGCTGTCAGTTTTACAACAATCACGGTTGTGATTGACGAATAACCTATCGTGTAATGCGGTGATTGACGGTTGCATAAAATTGATTGACAAATATCTGGATATTTTGATTTTTACGTCAATCAACTATTAGTCACGAATTGTGATTGAACGTATAATGGCATTTCGTCAATCACGCGTCAGTCAACGCTTAGACAGCAATGGAGACGGACGCAAAATATATTGAAGAGGCTGCTTCTACGCGCTCGCGCAGCCCGTCGCCACTCCCACCAAATGTGTTTAAGCCAGAAAAAGATTTTATTTTAAATTTTCAGTCTCCCCGAGTTGTGGGACACGAAAAACCCTGGGTAGGTTGGATGCCCCTAATACCAGCCACGCCCCTAATTCCAGCCTTTCCGCCTTTTTACTTCGTAAATAAGATTTCTAGTAGTCTTAACTACAAATATGGTCGGCTAAAAATTCTTCGTAATTAGAGGAAAGTATATTTCAAATATTACCTCACAGTTTTAAACCTAACAGTGTTAAATTAAAAATCAAAACATACGCCATAGAATTATTACGTAATAATTTTATGACATAAGCATATTTTACATTAGCTCATCTTTAGGCTTTTTGATTTGTATGAATGTGACTATAGACATTTTCTTTTAGTGGAAATTAATGGGGCTGTAATTAGATATACGAAATTTATGGAGTGCATATTGTCAGTCGCCCGACTGTTATTTGGTTTGACGTAAATAAAAAGAAGTACTTTATTTTAACCACGTAATATAAATCAGGGCTGTCATAAACTAGAATAAATACCATTAATTTGAACTCACACAGAAAACCAACGTAGAATAGCAGCTTAACGCTGCTGTGTTTCGTATGGTGAGTGTAGAGAACCGGAGACCCTTTTTACTGGCAAAGAGGCATTCCATCTTAGTCCTCACGGGTGACAACGCATCTGCATCTTGAGTCTATATTGAGGATAGATGTAGATGTCTATGGGTCATAGTAGCCACTTACCATCAGTTGGACTGTGTGCTCGTTTGTCACCCTATCCCATATAAAAAAAAACATAACTTATTTTATAGTTAAGTAAGTTATGATCAATTCGTCTATATTTTAAAATTGGTGTTTGATTTAAAAGTCTAACAAATGATACGTAACGTACTTGCTTTTCAGACATTTGGTATATGTTAAGAACACCATACAATATTTAATTATTTTTTGAGAAAGACAAAAACAAACAATAAATGTAATTAACTACAACTTAGTAATACTAATTTTATTATAACTTAAGAACATAAATGAAAAAGTCATAAAAAGGAAAGTGGTTCAGGACCATGCTCTGCGGCAGTCTATGGAGGATGATGTTCTGTAGTCGACTTGTGAAGGGCTGAAATGATGATAAAGATTCAAAAACTTGGATGATTAAATTATAAGAAATCGGTGTACTATAATACATAATTTTTAATATAATATTGTTTTAATTAATTGTTTAGTGTTAAAAGAAAAATTTAACTGCTTAAAGCTAAACCACTGTAAGGTAAGAAGTAAAACATTAAAATAAAATAATTGTTGTCGTAATACATATTCCATACTTGTGACATGCATGATTTAAAATTAAAAGTTGTTATGAATTTATTTCAGTGCCCCTAAAATTTACCTACAATAGGTACCTACCAAAAACTCAAAAGGCATAGCCCTATGCTATGCTGGCATTAGATACACAAAAGGAAATTGAAATTGACACTAAAAGCCTGGTAATAGGGGCATCCACCCTGTACGAATAAATGTAAAAGTTAAGCTTATTTTTCTTCCATAAATGCGTTTCAAATAAAGCCGCGTATCGATTATGCACTCCAAGAGGTCTAACATTTGAGCGCGTTAAATTAAAATGGGTAAAATGATATTAAATATTACAATATTTCCTATTCGTTTTATTTCTTTTTCTTTTCAAGATATGAAATTATAATTAAATGGTGAATCGAAAATGAACTTACTTTATAGGTACGTCCTTTCACTCCGAAAATTTGGGTTTGACTGACCTCAGTCAGCATGAGCGTGTAATGTCGAAATTATTCTATCATACAAACGTTAATCATGATTGATCGAACTGATTGACGCTTGCCTAGGCGTGTAATGGGCGTCTTACACTAGTCTACGGTCTACGTATGTCGACTATGTCGATCCATAGACGACGTCGCGCAGTTTTTAAATTAAAACGTCTGCAAAACTAAGTTGACGCGTAAACTGGTTTACAAATTTAACTAGTTAATCGACTATTCGATGATCGAAAATGGACGGTCTAGTTTCGTTAACGACAAATACGTCGACGACATTGCTACCGTCGATAACACGACACGTGTATCGCCTCTAAACGATGCGTCCTAAGGTGTAATAATAAGTAATGTAAAATTTTCCTTTAAAACTTAGTCATCATTATCATCATCATTACAGCCCTTCACAAGTCCACAGGTGAACATAGGTCTCCCCCAAGGAATGCCACAAAGCACGGTCCTTAGCCAACTGCATCCATCGACTTCCTGCATGTTTTACCAGGTCGTCTCTCCATCTAGTGGGGGTTGCCCTACACTTCGCCTACCGGTACGAGGCTGCCACTCGAGAACCTTCTCTCCCCATCGGTTGTCGGTTCTTCGAGCTATATGGCCGGCTCATTGTCACTTCAGCTTACTAATCCGTTGGGCTATGTCGGTTACTCTGGTTCTACTGCGGATACCCTCATTTATAAGTTTATTACGCAGAGAAATGCCCAGCATAGCCCTCTTAATAGCTCGCTGAGCAACCTTGAGCGTCCTCATACGGCCAGCAGTGAAGGACCACGTCTCAGATCCGTAGGTCATCACTGGTAACATGCACTGGTTGTACAATCTAGTTTTGAGGATTTGAGGTATGTTTGACGAGAAGATATGTTGTAATCTCCCGAACGCTGCCCAGCCAAGTTGAATCCGTCGATTGAACTCTCGGTCGAAGTTGGACTTACCTAGTCGGACTATTTGTTCCAGGTATACATATTCGTCAACAACTTCGAGCTTAGTGCTACCAACAACTACCGGCATAGGTGTGACATGGACGTTAAACATGATTTTTGTTTTGTCCATGTTCATCTTAAGACCTATCCGTTGGGGTACACTATTGAGGTAATTGAGCATAGTGCTTAGGTCCTCCAGCGATTCTGCTATAAGGACTATATTGTCGGCAAATCGAAGGTGAGTGATGTACTCGTCATTGACGATAATACTTTATCCTTTCCAGTCCAGTAGCTTGGAAATGTCTTCTAATGCAGCGGTGAAGAGTTTCGGGAATATTACGTCACCCTATTCACCACTATGTCACCTATGTCACCACTTCTCTGCAGTTGGATAGGTTTCGTGCTCTGGTTCTGTACTCGGATAGCCATCGTAGCCCTACTGTACAAACACTTCACCACTTCGATATACCGAAAGTCCACTTGAAACCGCCGGCAGGACTGCAGGACCGCCCAAATTTCGATGGAATCAAAGGCTTTCTTATAGTCCACATACGCAAGACAAAGTGGCAGATTGTACTCTTCGGTCTTCTGTACAATTTGCCGAAGGGTGTATGTGGTCTATGGTGCTAAAGCCTTTTCGGAAACCGGCTTGTTCGGGAGTTTGCATGCGCGACGATTCGTAATGGTTCTCGAAAACAGCACGTAGACGCGGCTCAGAAGGGAAATCGGTCTGTAGTTCTTCAAGAGAGCGTTGTCGCCTTTCTTGAAGAACAAAACCACCGCACTTCTGCTCCACGCCTCCGGAGTAGTGCCACCATAGAGGACGGAATGAAAAAGCTTCTGAAGGACTTTAAGTACCATGTTTTCCACCCGCTTTCAAAAGCTCCACTGTGATTCTATCCTCACCCGGGGACTTGCCGTTTTTAAGGTGCTGGAGAGCCATTTTAATCTCGCTCAGACTGACGTCCGGTATATTATCGGAATAGTGTTGGATAAGACTTGCTCTTGAATCTTTACTCACATTTGCGTGTGGCTCATCCGTAGAACCTCTCAATCTCACTCAAAATCTCAGGTGTCCCGGAAAACATGCTGCCACACTCGGCCTTCAGCTTCGCTCTTCGCTCTTTCTGGCAGACAGATCTCTGTCAAAGACTTTGGAGCCCTGGTTCCGCTCGATCGCTTCTTCAATACGAGCAGTATTAAAGTTGTGTAAGTCCCGCCGCATGCATTTGGAGATCTGTCTGTTCAGTTGTCTGTATGCTATAAAATCTACTGAAGACTGCAGCTTCATTTCCCGTCTAACAGCCATGAGATTAAGAGTGTGATCGGAGAGCTTTTGTGTTCTTCTGCGGCGAGTCTTGCAAAACTTAGCTCCGACCGCATGGACAGTTTCCGCGGCTTGTCATTTATATCGTCCACTGCATTGCAATCTTTTAGGCACTGAAAACGGTTTTGTAACTCGAGCTGAAATGTTTTGGGACTTTGGATTAGAGCACGAGGGGGATGGGGACGGAGCGACTTCATTAGACGATACCTCTCCAACTTAACGTTAAGTTCAGTGTGCCTATAACCATTCGGTGATCGCTACCAGTTTTCACCCTCGCGATCACTGAGACATCACTGAACAGTTGCCGTCTAGTCGTCATAATGAAGTCAATCTCATTTTTTGTCGAACCGTCGGGGCTCGACCAGGACCACTTCCAGTGGGGCCGCTTTTGGAAGAAAGAGTACATCATAAAGAGTCCCTCTTTCTCCATGAAGTCGGCCAGCTGCTGGCTTCTTGGGTTCCGTTGCCCTATTCCGAAGTTCCCTATTTTCAGCTCATCATTCTCTCTTGTGCCTAGTTTTGCGTCGAAGTATCCCATTAACACCATATAGTGGGTTTTGGAGGAATGCATGCCTCTAGAGATATCCTCATACATTTCCTCCACATCCTCATCGGGGTGTGTCGAGGTCAGTGCGTAAACCTGTATGACCTTTAGCGAATACCGTAGTAATACCGTTGGAGATTCTGAGTATAAGGTACGCAACCCTCGTCGACACACTCCCAATCTTCACAACGTTGTTAACGAGAGACTTGTGGACGATAAATCCGACATCTCCTTGGGACAGATGGTCGCCCTCCCGGTGATAGAACAAGTTGCCGGATTCGAGGATTACCGTGTCCTCCCCCTCTCTTCGGACCTCGGATAATCCTATAATATTCCAGTGCAACTTGTCTATCTCTTCTTCCAGCTCCAGGTAGGGTGCGTGCGTTATAAGTTGCCAGGTCGAGTCGTCGTAGGAGGCAACCGAATGTCCACCGAAGATTCTTCATCATCATCATCATCATTACAGCCCTTCACAAGTCCACTGCTGAACATAGGCCTCCCCCAAAGAATGCCACAAAGCACGGTCCTGAGCCACCCGCATCCATCGACTTCCTGCATATCTTACCAGGTCGTCACTCCATCTAGTGGGGGGACGCCCTACACTTCGCCAGCCGGTACGAGGCTGCCACTCGAGAACCTTTCTTCCCCATCGGTTGTCGGTTCTTCGAGCTATATGGCCGGCCCATTGCCACTTCAGCTTACTAATCCGTTGGGCTATGTCGGTTACTCTGGTTCTACTGCGGATATCCCCATTTCTGAGTTTATCACGCAGAGAAACTCCGAGCATAGCCCACTCCATAGCTCGCTGAGCGACCTTGAGCTTCCTCATCCAGCCAGCAGTGAAGGACCACGTCTCAGTTCCGTATGTCATCACTGGCAAAACGCACTGGGTGTACAGTCTCGTTTTCAAGAGATTCGGAGATTCTTAGCACCCCCTAAATCTTAGTATGTTAACATAACATACGATAACATGGGCGTAACAGCAGGGTTAGCCAAGTTTACATTCTACAATCGTTAATGTTATTAGAAAACTTTAAAAGTGAATGAAATCAATAATGATAAGTCACGTGACTTAACATTGAGATTTGTCTTTCCCATTCATTTTTATAGATTTCTGCTAGCCTTGTCAATTGTAGAAAGCAACTTGTCTAACCAAGCATGCATACTTATGGAGGCAGCCAACCCCTTTGGACCAATTCCGACACTCATACATTTTTGATTATATCCTCATATCTAAATACTGTTGTATTTGTGAAACTGTAGATGAAATAAAATAGAAAAGCACAGCTATCAACTGTCTAGTACATTATTTGATTTTAAATTAAAATAAAATAGAATAGAAGATATGCTCTGGAAAATTTTACGTCTATTATAATGTTTTAAATATTGCATGTTTACAGGTTTTCGATTATCCTCCAGAAGGCGTTAGAAAGTGCATAGTTTCGACCAATATAGCAGAAACTTCTGTCACTATCGACGGAATAAGATTTGTAGTGGATTCTGGCAAGGTAATGATTGTCTAATAAATTATTATTTTATTTAACTGAAAGTTGTGGTGATGTTGAGTAGTATTTTCGATTTTATTCTGTATCGTGATGCAAAGGTAATTATCCTATAGGCCTAACTCTTGCAGAAATAAAAAAAAAAAGCCTTGTATCCAGTAGTGGGACACATTAAGGTACTAATTTTATGAGATTCCAGAAGTTACTTCTTGTTTCAAAAGCTTGTTCAAATAGTTGCATGTTTTTTGCAAATTTGAAATTGAACGAGCACTAGAGGAAGACCAATTTCATGATGATGGAGACAGTGATAAATTTTGTTTTGATAGATTTTCCTTATTTGCAGGTCAAAGAAATGAGTTACGATTCGTCTACAAAAATGCAAAGGCTAAAAGAGTTTTGGATATCCAAAGCGAGTGCAGATCAAAGAAAGGGTCGAGCTGGTAGAACAGGTGATTACAAAGCCTTGTCATGAGCGGGTGTTTCTTTTGCTTCGAAACTCTATCATAAAATTTACTAGGGGGTAGGACGGTAGAAGCCCGCTGGGTAGTTACCATCCCCTTACCTATTCTGCTACCAAGCAAGACGTGCGCGCACTGATGTGTTTCAGTCTGCAAGATATAGGGAGCCACTATGATTACAGGCTGAGAAGCATTCCATCTTAGTCCCCAATGGTGACAATGCATCTGTCCATTGGTTGCAGTAGTCTCTTGCCACTAAATGGACTGATCGTGTGCTTGACACTTAAATTTTATATTAAAAAAAAAACTACGAACAGAATGGCCACTAACCTCATTTTCAATGGACAGTTCATTTGTTCTAACTGGAGGGATGGATGTGCGTCTTGTATTTTTTTTAATTTAATTATCTATGGTAACAAAAATATGTCCGACAACTTCTCGGTAAATATGAGGCACCGACAGCTCTGTGACCGTGATAACATTGCTATAGCATCATGCTGAATCGGATGCCTTTTCGTTGCTACAACCCGATGTATTTGTGTATATTTTCTTTGTTTTCTTTTTAGTTTTCATTTCTTTGTATTATACGTTATGTTGTGTATGACGAATAAATCATTCATTCTTTAAAAATTCTCTCACACATACAACGGCACCGTTCACGTATACAAACCTATGCATGTGGGCGTTGTAGGTATTACTACGCGTTTGTTTCAAACATTTTATCTAGCTTTATGTATGTTTATGTCTGGCGTAATTAGATTTTAATCCTTAGGTAGCTTTTTGAATTTCACCTTTGTAAATCGTCCCGTTCGAGGTGTGCACTTTTGGATTTTCCAATTTTTTTACGTCTGGCTTAAGCAAGGTATATTTGAAATGAAATTAAATATTTATTTGCATTTGGTTAAGGTACATTGAAATTGTCACATGTTGTCATTTTCCATCCTCGCTCATGGTATGGTTGGGAGTTTCTTATTGGGGCTTAACAGAAGTACATTTTTGTGAGAAAGGTGTAAAAACGAATGCAGTTGTGTATCAAAATACAGTCCTGACGAACCTTGTGGAACCTGTTTCTCATACCATGTTCAATAACAGGCACTGGGTATTCCAACAAGATTCGGCGCGAGCTCATAGAGCGAAGAGCACACAAGACTGACACACAGATCCGGCACGTAGACTGGCCCTCCTCCAGTCCAGATTTGAATCCGTTAGATTACAAGATATGGCAACACTTGGAGGAAAAGGCGTGCTCAAAGCCTCATCCCAATTTGGAGTCACTTAAGACATACTTGATTAAGGCAGCCGCCGATATTGACATGGACCTCGTTCGTGCTGCGATAGACGACTGGCCGCGCAGATTGAAGGCCTGTATTCAAAATCACGGAGGTCGTTTTGAATAAACTTTAGTGTCATAAGAATCTATGTTTTGTTAAGTTCATTTTGGTATATAAATGGTTACATAATGAATAAACTTGTTTCAATTATTTTACATAGGCTGCACTAAAAGTATCGGGAATGGAATATTTCCACTGTTCCTGTCATATTAAAATCTTTTTAATTGAAAACTCCTTCGTTTTAAAAATCGAATACCATTTATTTATTTAAAAAAAGATTCTCGGTCTTGTCACAAGGTTTTGTCAAACTTGTTTAGTCGTTGAGAAAATGAAATTGACTCGAGAAAATTCAAGATCGATGGTTTATTATGACTTTCGAAGTGGTTTAACACATGAACAGTGTGTTGACCGGATGATTTCTGCATTTGGTGATGAAGCCCCATCCAAAACAACAATTTATCGCTGGTTTGCTGAATTTCAACGTGGACGTGTCAAGCTCAGTAATGATCCCCGTCAAGGTCGTCCAAAAACTGCAGTCACCCAAGAAAACGTTGATGCTGTGCGTAAGCTGATTGAGGAAGATCGACATGTGACATACCGCGAAATTCAGGCAACTTAGGACATTGGCATGAGTCAAATACAAATAATCTTACATGAACAATTAGGTGTAAAAAAGTTGTTTTCCCGATGGATACCGCATTCGCTCTGTGAAGAGCAAAAAGCGGCTCGCGTTACTTGTTGCGTCAGAACTCTCGAAAGATTCCACGCAGGATCCTCAAATGCTGTATACAACATCGTATCAGGTGACGAATCCTGGATATATGCGTACGAACCCGAAACAAAAAAACCAGTTACGAGTTTGGGTTTTCGAAAATGAGTTAAGCCTACAAAAATTGTTCGTTCACGGAGTGTTGCAAAAAAAATGGTGGCCACGTTTGTCTTCAAAACCGGCAATGTTACGACTATTCGTTATATAAAGAACGGTTAATGCAGAATGGTATGCTAGCATTTGTTTGTCACAGGTCGTTTCTGAACTCCGTAAAGAGAACTGCAACCGCCGCATCATCCTCCATCACGACAATGCGAGTTCTCACACCGCACACAGAACAAAAGAATTTTTAGAGCAAGAAAACATAGAATTATTAGACCATCCGCTGTACAGCCCCGACCTAAGCCCTAACGATTTCTATACTTTCCCTAAAATAAAGAATAAATTGCGTGGACAGAGATTTTCATCACCTGAAGAAGCTGTGGACGCCTACAAAACGGCCATTTTGGAGACCCCAACTTCCGAATGGAATGGTTGCTTCAATGATTGGTTCCATCGTATGGAAAAATGTGTCAAATTTCGCGGAGAACACTTCGAAAAGCAATAAATACATTTTTAAATAGTAATGTTGTGTCACTACCTTGATTCCCGAAATTTTCAGTGCCGCCCTCGTATTTCATATTTTAACATGAAAAAGTAGTTATTGTGACATAACTGTAATAGTTAACATATAGTATCGCAGGCTATTTTGTAGATATTGATATCCTCTATAAAACTGAAGTACATTATTTTGCTCTATTATCAATAGTTTCCGCATCGTACGCGATATAAGGACTCTTTTTGGTATTTTTTTCACACATTGGGTTACATTAACCCTTTCGCTGTCCCGTGCACTACATATAGGTCATTGCTATTGTCTTACTATTGTGTCTGCAAACCGGACAGTGAAAGTGTTAACAAAGTTTTCATACAGATCCCTAAATTTTTGAAAATATTATATAGCATATGTTCATCAGGGATAATGTAGGATTGTAATGGTGAAAGAATTTTTTAAATCGGTCCAGTAGTTTCTGAGCCTATTCAATTTAAACCAACAAATCTTTCCTCTTTATAATATTAGTGTAGATATATATATACTTATATTCTATTATATATATACAGTAAAACTCACTTAATACGATCACGTTCAATACGATTTCTCGCATAATATGCCATTTTATATCAGTCCCTGCAACTTGAGGCATGTTTTCATACATTTTTAACTCGCTCAATACGATCGTCATCCCGTCTAATACACCATCTGTGCAACACCCAAGCCAAGCCGAGTAGCACGCATAGTTCTCTTCATTGATAACTGACCCGGCTAAAGAACATCAAGCTTGTTTCCTTACCTCCGAATGCGACAAGCAAGTTGCAACCGATGGATCAGGGCATTATAAAGGTCCTTAAACAAAGCTACAGAACACGATTGATACATCGCTATTGTAAAGAAATGGAAGAGCCTGATAGCAAACGACTCCTAATGTTCCGATCCTAAAAATTGCAGCGGCATGGCAAACAATTAAGCCTGAAACCATACAAAATTGTTTTAAGAAAACAGGTTTCCGAAGTAACAAAGCTGATGTCGTGTTGGAAGAAGAACCGGCGATACTGCAGGGGTTTCCTGGATATTCTTCCATTAATGACAATGTTACACCGTACGAGACCTGTTCAATCGAAGATCTTTTTGAAGATGTGAATAACACCCAAAAAGAGGTCCTACGTGATGACGATGAAGATGAAGGAGAGTCAATTCCGACTGTCAAACGCAGAGGCATTATGAGCAGTAAACGGTTTAAGGCGCTATGTATCTATTGTTGCAACTTACTTTTTGCTTTCGAGGAAAGTGATGTCATTATAAATAATAATTAACTATCATGTAACGTATTTAAATACATATACATATTCTGTATAATATTATAGCTTTATACCTATAATTAAATACCTACAAAAACATTGTTAATGATGTTATGTTTTATTTTCCATATCCCGCATAATACGCTTCCCGCTTAAGTCGCGATTTTGGCTGGGTCCCTACAAAATCGTTTTAAGCGAGTTTTACTGTATATAGTATTGAATAGTTTAAAATATTGGATGCATTATAACAACGTCTAAACGTTAAATTAATAACTCGACAAAAATTCATTCTCTCATGATTACAACGTACGAACTCGAAAAAAGGCGAGTATCGATTGACTTTGTTAAGCCATAATCATTTGGAACTTTACGCCAACCACTAGGTAGCTATAAGCAAAATCCAGGCGGACAATATCTGACACTATTACTAACTAACAAGAACACAAAACAAATATATAATTAATAGAATCAGGCGTTACTTTGCGGAAATCCATTATATAAAAGCTTTAGAAAAATTTACTTCGCAAATATCCGCGTTATAAAATAAAATGATGTGTCTTACCTAGTATGAAGAGCAATTGCGTGCACTATCCCCGTCACCACTAATCCCAGCACCGCTACTCCCAACACCACTACACTAGGCAATACACACCACTGACGACAATACGACACGTGTTTCGCCTCTACACGAGGCATCCTCAGGTGATATAGACTCTACGGTGGCTAACCGCTAAGTAAGCGGCGAGCCAAAACAACTGCCTTTTATAGATATACTTGCCTAGTGTAGTGGTGTTGGGAGTAGCGGTGCTGGAATTAGTGGTGACGGGGATAGTGCACGCAATTGAGGGAGGGCGGGAGGTGCTCTTCATACTAGGTAAGACACATCATTTTATTTTATAACGCGGATATTTGCGAAGTAAATTTTTCTAAAGCTTTTACAAAACAAATATTTTGCCGACTAAGTTTTAAAAGAAAATTTAAAAAATCACCAGGTCCGGGCGTATGTTACCGTATTTATTCGGAACAACAGTACTCTGATATGGAGCCGTTTAGCACACCGGAAGTGAGCAGGGTGCCTCTAGCTTCGCTTTTGCTGCTGATGAGTTCTTTGGGTGTGAACGATGTCCGTCGGTTCCCGTTTCTCGACTCGCCGCCAGAAGAGGCAATTGAAAATGCACTTTTAGAACTAAAACAGCACGTGAGTATTGTAAACTGCTTAAATCCCACTTCTTTTTCCATTGTATGCGCTTCTCCTGTTGTAGGGAGTATTTAACTTGATCGTCATGCTTGACAGGATGATTGTCGATCGCAGTACCAGATGTCTCACGCCTTAGAAGCTGCCACCGGTCGCAATTCTGGGTTATAATACTTCTGCAACAAAGCCATAAGATCTTTCTAGTATATTTCATAGTCGCCCCTTACCACGTCCAAGGGACGACTTCATTTTGTCACGATAGATCTTTAGCCAACGCAAGGTTTTTAACACACCATTCGTAATGTCCTTTTGTGAATCCACCACCAATCTGTGTGATTACAGTTGTATTATATTGGGGAGGATGTTTCAGTTCGTCTATTAATCTTTAGTGTAAGGGGGAATAAATCACATGTTATAAATATGAATCACCGCATTCCAGGGAGCGTTATCGTCAAACGAGAAGCTCACATCCCTTGGCAAGGCTTTGGCCAATTTGCCAGTTGAAGTATCGCTGGCTAAGGCACTTGTGATCGGGAGCGCCACTCTGCCGCCGCACAAACGGGACTCCGCTCTCGCCCTCACCGCTGCCCTAGGAATTCGATCGATTTTCACCACAAGGGCTCACAGGGACTTTGAATGTGAGGTAAATTAAAATAAACCTAAGTCCGTCCTCTACTGGACATAATTGGACAGTGTTGTGCAGAAATAATCCAACCCATAATAATGATTCAAAGGCTCTTTAACCCACGACGCAAACAGAGGGGTGTTATATGTTTAACGTGTGTACCTGTGTATATATGTATCTTTTTGTCTGTGTGGCTGTCTGTGTGCCTGTCTGTGTCATCGTAGCTCCCAAAAAGATGAACCGATTTGGATTTAGATTTTTGTTTGTTTGAAAGGTGACTTGATCTAGAGTGTTCTTAGCTATGATTCAAGTAAATATTTTCAGCCGTTTGAAGATCCTGATGATCTTTTTTTTTTCTCTTGTATTTGGGCGGTTTTTTAAATTGTCAACTTAATTTTTTTTCTGTTTATTTGAAAACTAATTAAAAATAACAAGTAATCCCAATATATATATATTAAATCTTCTTTAAAATGATATACACAACATAATATAATAGAGCTTATGCCACAATAAATCTTTAAAATCTGAATAACTTTATATTTTTGTGGGTTGCAACATTTTTGCACAACACTGTTCAATTATCATCAACATTATATATAGCCCTTTATGTTGTTATTAGAATGCAAGAAAACCGGACGAGTCCGACCACGGGGACCCATTGACGCTTCTGTCGTTGTATTGTGCTTGGTTGAGCGTCAAAGCTGAAGGGAGAGGCGGTCGGGACTGGTGTCGACGAAGAGGGATCGAGGAGCAGCGCTTCTATGAGTTGACCAAGTTGGCAGCACAGTTGCGTGGATTGCTACAGGTAGGTCAGTAACGGACTGGTAGGACTCATTTTCTACCTAGAATCTATCTAGCCTGCTGTATTCCGGTTTGAAAGGTATAGAGAGCCAGTATAATATACAGGCTGTGAGGCATTTCCGTCTTAGTCCTCAGAGGTGACAACGCATCTGTAGTCTCCTTGGTTTGAAGTTGACTGCAGGTGTCTATTGACTGGAGTAGTCACTTATCATCAGGACTGTAAGTCCGTTTGTCACTTTGATTTTAATAATAACTAGCTGTTCCACGCGACATCGCCCGCGCGTAATTTATTATGGTTGGATTTCATGGGTTTTAATTTTTTGCGCGGAACCATAATTCTTTTTCTAAAATAATAGTAGCCCAAGTTACTTCTTATAACATCAGCTATCTGCCAGTGAAAGTCTGGTCAAAATCGGTCCAGCCGTTTCGGAGATTAGCCGGAACAAACAGACAGACAGACAGACAGAAAGACAGACAGACAAAAATTTTAAAAATCGTGTTCTTGTTATAAGTACCGTATAAAATTTCATATGCATATAATAAAAAGCAGTTATTTCGCCATTACAAACAGACACTTAAAATTTGTACAGCCGACTTCAATACAAATTATTAAGAATAACTCAAAAACTATTGGTCTGACCTTGATCAAATTCATATGGGACCACATGTGAAGTACCTGCTTTTAAATAAAAAAGAATCATCTAAATTGTTTCAACCAGTAAAAAGTAATGAGGTAACACACATAAAAAAAAACATACAGTCGAATTGAGTATCGTCTCCTTTTTGAAGTCAGAAGCAGAAAAGAAACAATAAAACAACCGCACTTTCGACATTGTTGCCCGTAGCAGGTATGGGTATTATACGTCTGACGTAAAAGATATACTACCATGTTGGTAGCCTTAAGATTGTTCTGGTATTTTCCATAGACGCCTCTTACGATACCCACGGTACGAAATGAAGTGATGAATTCCGTTATCCTGCAACCACACGGCATAGGATTGAGAATTGACTGATGGCGGAAAGTTCATCCAAAAATGCCACAACTAAATCTCATACAGGAACTTTCATTCATTTTATACGTGATAGAGCCACGCTGCAGCTATTAATCCTTGTAGCACGACCGGGGTAGGAACGCGCTCTCACAGAATAGTAGCGTAAAATAGCCGCTTAATGCTGCTGTGTTTCGTATGGTGAGTGTAGAGAACCGGAGACGTCTTTTTACAGGAAACGAGGCATTGTTTTTAATCCTCACGAGTGACAATGCATCTGCATTTTAATTCTTAATCTAGTCTAATTGCCATCAGCTGGACTGTGTGCTCGTTTGTTTGGCACACTTATTCTATATAAAAAAATATTCATTACAGTCTATAAAAGGTCTATTTATGGACTTAGGCGTCCCCATATATAGCTTCATAGGGGTAATATTCGCCATAGTTGTCACATTTGGCAAGTGGGTTGTTATCAGCAATATGCTGCCATATTCTCTTTAAGTTTTCCTCTGTCACTTCTTATGACATACATGGGATGTCTCACGCCGCCGCTACATGGCATATTGTAAATAGGAAGCAACTTACTGTGTTTAGTACGGACGGAAATCGAGTACCATACGTCTCGTACTGGTCCGCCCTTCGCTGGTCTGGATATTTTGCTTTGGCGTGAACAGGACAGTGAAAGTGCCATCTATTGAATACTTTGACATCTTTCTAGAATTACTAATAGCAACCACACTAAGTGTATTATAACATACTAACCAGGACAACAACTTGATGGAAAGCCCGGAACCGGAAAATATGTCATCGGCAGAACGAGCACTGCGACACGGACAAATGAAACAACTAAAAGACATGAGAAGGTGAGAATTGTGTTTATTTTTGTATTATCATTGAAAATGTCTCTCCTCATGGGTACTTTAAGTAACTTTACCTTTAATTATCATTACTATCGCCGATGATGATTATCATCTTTACAGCCCTTCAGAATCCACTGCTAAACATAGAACTCCATCCATCGACTTCCTGCATCTCTTACCAGGTTGTCACTCTATCTATTCCTGGTTTACTTTTAATGATATTATAGAACATAAAAACTAATTGCTCTTAAATTTGGGTTATGCCAGCGTTTAATTTAACTTGCAAGGAAAATCGTATTATTCAATTGTGGCAAATGAGTTATGAGACCCATTCAACTTAAACTGCCACTGCTGTGTTCCGGTGTGATGTGAAGGCTGACAGAGCCAATAATAACAGCATTTCGTGTTAGGTCTTTGTGTTTGCATTGATTGGTTGTTGGTATCCATTGCTGCAGTAGTTACCATCTCATTTGTCATTATCTGGGTGCATTGTCTGATCAGCTCCGTGGTTCTCCCCCATGCTTTTTCTACATTAGTTGGCCAAATTTCAGCTCAATCAGAATTTAGCAAGTGCTTCAAAAAAAATCTTTATAAAATTAGACTGACTAACGAGCACACAGTGCTAATGGTAAATGGATACTGTGGCCCCATCTACATCCGTCCTCAATTAAAAATCAAAATGCAGATGTGTTGCCACCCCTGAGGACTGAGATGTTATGCCTTGTTTCCAGTAAAAAGGGTCTCCGGTTCTCTACACTCACCATATGAAACACAGCAACAGATAGCCTGTATTTTACGGTGGTATTCTGTGAGAGCGTGATCCATTCCCGGTCGAGCCGACCCATTCGTGCTACAACCATCATATAGCTGCAGCATGACTCTACCACGTAAAACACACATTTTAATGTACAAATTTTGAGAAGACATAAGGAAAGCAAGTTAATGAAAAGATTGTAAAAATAATGGACAGAATTTAAGCACAGTATTTACATGTATTTTATTTAAACGATTGGTTGCGCAGCTGCGTAGCCTCGAGTTCTGATTCCGCACGGAACAATAATTTTATGACATAAATATATCCCTCCTATTCACAGACAGTACAAACAAAAAGCCGTCGAGGAGTCGAAACGCAGGAAACGTCTCAAAGTCGACTCCTGGGAGATCGTAGACGACAAATTAGACGAGGACAATGTACTGGACATTCGGGATATAGAGTTCCGTATGACGAACGACGCGCAGAGAATTAGGGCCTTGATATCCGGCGCCAGTGCGTCTAGTGGCCGAGATCTTATTACGTTAAAGGTACGTAAAGACTATTCAACGATCGATTCAAATTTTTTGTCCAAAAACACAAATTGTTAGTTTTTGATCTGTTTATATCGTCATTATAGTGGTTGTATTGTATTTTATCGTTGTGTAATGGCGGCGTAAGAGAATTACCCAATTTAGACTAGTGGTTGTTGTAAAGTGACTATGAAATGCCAGAAAAATCTAATAGGTTCCGATAGATGGCGGTAGAGTTCTTGCTATTCACGAAATCAAGCGGGCCTTACTTGTAGTAAACACGTATCTGTAAACGAACGTGTGAGACCAAAAGCGGGTATGTTTGGCGACGGCACGTTCGTAACTGATCGCTACGTCAGACACGCACCCTATCTCAATATGCATGTACGCGCTAGTTAAGGATACTCACCTTGTAGATATATGCTTTGTCAGCCCAAAGCAAAGCATAGCTAAGTTGAAGAGGTTCACTCAGCATTTACTTTACACGCGTATAAAATATTGCAAAATACATAATAAAATTCCCTGGAACAAATTAAAATTATGCTGACGTTCATGAGAAAAAGTTTTGTTCCTTGTTGTTTCCAACTTTAGATAAGTTATATTGCATTTTTATTGTCAATCTGTTCTCAGAATTCGCTCGATAAACACTGTATCTTTGTTTTATTCAATAAAGTTATATTTTTATTGAAATCATGTATCCATTCCGTGACTCGCTCTATTTCGGAAATTACAAGAAAGTATATAACTATTTCGCTTACGCCAAATTAGGTACAACGTCGTAGGTACAAACCGTGTCCGACAGTAGACTTTTATGATGGAGAGGATATTGTTAATTGTTCTCGTGTTTCAACTGCAACTAAGAACACCTCCGATTTTATCTACCGACTTCAAAAAGTAGACGGTACTCAATTCGACTATTTTTTATGTGTGTTACCTCATAACTTTTTACTGGTCGAACCGATTTTGATGATTCTTTTTTTATTTGAAAGCTAGTGCTTCACATATGGTCTCATATAACCATTTGATCAAGGTATGGCCAATAGTTTTTGAATTATTTTTAATAATTTATATTGAAGTCGGTTGTACCAAATTTTAAATTATATATTATTGCATAAAGGCTTACATCGGTTAGCACATGTTAGTGTCACACACAACACATATCATACGACGTTGATAGTTACCAATATTATCCGAAAGATGTCACTGTTATGTATCGATATTTACTGATATATCAAATTATTAAAAAATAATGCACATTATTAGGTAGGAACTAGTATAATAAATTCATTTTTCATGTTAAGCTAAGCCAATTTTTTATACAAGTACAGGTGACAAACGAGCACACAATCCACCTGATGGTGACACTGTGTGTGAGTATCAGATATAGGCTTTTATTTTTCTTTCCCTCCCCATTGTAGGGTAAGATTGCCGATCGCACCATCAGAGTTATCGCACTATTGGTTTATTTTACTTCTGGCTAAGGACGATAGCAGTTTACCATCATCTATTGGAAGCCATAAGATTTCTTTAGCTTTTCTTCTTACGACACCCACAGGACGAAATGGGATGTTGGATTCTTTTACGCTACCAACAAAAGTTGCCTTGATATTTCATATTTCAGATTGTACTGTGCAGAGCACTGTATCCTCAAGTGGCAATAGCAGACGAATTCAACCATTGCAAGGTAATTTGTTAAATAAATGTTTATTTGAACGATGTATAAATTTAAAGCAAAATTTTTATTTCAAAATAACCTATTTAATTATATAATTATATTATATATATTTTGTTATAGACATAACACACAACGCTGTCATAGATATTTTTTGTTTTCTTCTTTCTTATTTTATTTAGGAAGTTTTATTGACAACGGTTTTATTAAAAAATAATTTATAGAGTTAAAGGCCGTTTTGCGTTTATACATAACGACACTAATTTTCTACAAAGAAATTTAAAATCAAATGAAATATAAATTTAATATAAGTACATACTTTCAGTTGTTCTATATTATTTGTTTTTTTTTTGTTTGTCGACGCTGTAATTGATACAGATTTTATAATAATTTTTTGAAGAAATAATGAAATGAATGAAGTTGAATATATCGAACACTAAACTTAAATCTTCAGTCAGTTTCGGAGCAACTTTACCACACGTGGAGCAAACCGTTCGTGTTCCTCCACCCGACGTCGCACTTCGGCAAGCATCCGAAGACATTGCAGCTGACCGAAGCGGACATACAGACGGAACTGCCTCCAGGATATAAGAGCAAGCTCCCAGTGTCGGCTAGGCATCAATTGCTCTGTTATTTGTAAGTTTATACGATTTACGACGATGGTTAACAAAACCTACTTTTATATGCGGTAGAGTGCAGTTGCAGCTGTATTATGGGACTAGGGAAGGACCACGCTCGCAATGAATCCCAGCGTGAAATAGCAGCATTATGCTGCTGTGTTTCGTATGGTGGGTGAAGAGAACCGGAGACTCTTTCAACTGCTAACTAGGCAATCCATCTTAGTTCTCAAGGATGACAAAGCATTTGCATGTTGATTCTTAATCGAGGATAGATGTAGGAATCTATGGGCCCAGCATTTACTCACTATTAGGTGGACTGAACTGTGTACTTGATAATATAATTTATATCAATAATAAATAATTATAAGTATTTAAAGAATTAATTTGTATAAAAAAAATGTGATTCCGCATTTATTTCAAATTTAGCAGAACATTATATTAATTATTATTTGAACTTTACCCAAACACTGTGTAACCCTAGCCTTAACCTTTTGAGTGGACTAAGGAATACACGATCTCAATATAACAACTAGAAAAGTCGTTAAATTTTCATCAACTGTTTTACTAATCCTAGGGGTGGATTTATTTTTCAATAAATTTATATTTCTCGGGATTTATACGGGCCCCTGAAAATAACCTATTTAATAAGATTATTTATTTTTTACGTGGTAAAGCCATGCTGTATTTAGCTTATAGCACGAATGGGTCGACACAAAAATAAAATAGCATCTTAACGCTGCTGTGTTTCGTACGGTGAGTGTAAAGATCGTAGACCCTTTTCACTGGAAACGAGGCATTCTTATTCTTATCATATTAGACTCATTCGAGGGTAGATGTAGATGTCGTTGCGCTGTGTTCTCGTTTATCACACTTATTCAATAAAAAAAATTTATGATAAAATAATAATTAACATCGGTTCACAATTGACAAAGGTATAACGTAACATACATACAAAAAGTACAGTTGAATTTATAAGCTTCTCCTTTTTTTAAGTCGACTAAAAGCTCAAGTGGATCTATTGTTTCAGTAAATAAGTTTTGTCTTTTCAGATCCCTATTGGAAACAACGAAACCGTATATAGTTAACTCAATGCGAATGCCTGCAGCACAGACCTTATTGCTTCTGTCGCATTCTATTGACACCAACATGGGGTTTACAAGGTAAACTACCTTTTAAACGCGTTTTTATTAGCTTGACTTGCATGTAATTTAACGAACATCAAAATAAAAGAAAAACTTACAGATATAATTAAAATCCTTCATAGATTGTTCTTGAAAAAAAAAAACAATATCAGTTTTGTAGGAGGCGACAGGGGAAAAGGATATGATGGTTTAACCCGGATATCCTCATAATTCGTAAACAGTCTACTACTAGATATGGACCTCTCCGGTTTTTAACATGGGGAAATGCCAGGCAAGGACGGGTATTAGTCGCATTATATCCCATCTTTATCGCATATTGGCAGGGCCACGGGAACACTTTCGCACACATCTGCGGTCCCACCAGCGGATAACCAACCTCAACCCACCAGCGGGTGTCCAAATTCTCATAATTCGTAAACAGTCCACTACTAGATAATATGGATCTTTGCTATACTAAGGTAACTTTGGCGTAAACGCCAGATGTTTCTGGTATAGTGTTGTGACTTTACTTTTCGTTTTGTGGTGGCGACATAAGTGAAATCATTTATTTACTTACAAAAAGCCATTGAGTTATTATGTACTACGTACTAAGAGGCGACACTGCACTAAGTTACGCTGTTCCTTTCAACTGCGACAATGTCACCGCAATTTAATCACTCACTTGCTAGGCGCTTGTAGAGTTGTCACGTGTTGTGTTGATTTAAAAAAAAATATCTTGATAAAATTTGCCGGCGTGTGTTCTTAGATATTGCACAGAAAATTCACGAAATGTCACTTTTCATCGGTAAGTAAGATACTTAAATAATAAATAACATTATAGATTAATAATTAAAAAGTTATTTGTTTGACGCCAACTTGTGTCATGGAATATAGATTATGAAATTAATTTGTTCAGATACGACATTTCTGTGAGCAAATGTAGGACGATTATATTATGCGCAATTTTTTGTAGAAATAAATAGAAGTATTTATAATTAGACTAAATTTCTTACGTTTATATTTGCAGATTATTCTTTTATTTTATTTTTAGGTTTGCACGTCCAAACCACGAAAACCGAGAAAAGTGGATTAAATTCGTCCAAAATAATCGTAGAGAAGAGATGTGATTACCAACAAATCATACATACATTTGTTCCTTGCATTTTAAGGAAGAGGATAAATATAGTACGGAGAAGGCAAAAATTAACAAAAGAAGTTTTTAAAGTTTTACTCTTTTCTCACAGTAATTCATAAGGCATAATATAAAAAGTATCAGCTCTGTGTCCATGCCTCACGCGAACTTAGGTTAGGGCTCTTTGGGACCCAGTTCTAGATTTAAATAAATTTAAATTTCATTAGATTCGATTCCTTCCAATTTATATAGTTATCTTATAAAATATTTATATAAAAATGTAATTAAAATGATATTGCGATAATATTATATATTATCATATTAATTTACCTCATATCATGCAAAATAAATGACAAATTATTAAAAATTGAACTCGTTTTAATAAATTAATTAACAATATATGTACTCTAAATAAACAATAATTAAATACCTACTGATCATTCTACCTACGCATAATCTATTATGATAAAAAAAAACCGCGCATGTGCTGTAAGACTGTTTACGGCGCATGCGCAACGACATAGAGTAGCACACAGTTTTTGTTTGAAATAGCTGTTCTAGTACGTAAGTACATTAGACTTCAATGCAAAAAGGCAAAAAAATCTTGTGGCTTCCGATATGGCGTTGTAGCCATACCAATGAAATATAAAATCTATACGTGGTAGAGCCTCGCTGCAGCTATATTTTGGTTGTAGCACAAATGGGTCAGCTCGATCGGAGAAGGACCACTCTATCACAGAATACCAGCGTAATATAGCAGTATAATGCTGCTGTGTTTCATATGGTGAGATAGAGATCACTTATATTTTGATTTATTTACAATAAAACCAACCGTTTCGCCTTACGGCATTATCAGGAAATATAATACAAGTTTGCCGTTTATTTTTAAAGGATAGTGTGCGATTCGTGGTTACTTCTTGAGTTTCCCTATCCGGAGACTGGTCTGAACTTACTATTGAAAGCGGCGAAGCTTCGTCAAAGATGGGACGCTCTGATTAATCGAAGGCTTGCAGGTACGAATGCAAATTATTGGAAATCATTAACGTTTGTCCTTCCTTATCATAACAATTGTAACATTTTCGTTTAAACGATATAACTTGTGAGTTTTTATTAATCAGTCTGTAATTGTTTTCTTTTATTACAGTACATCCAACTTCCAGTGTTGAAATTTATTTTCCCCCATAAATTTCTTTATAGGGGGAAACTTAACATAATTTCTGCGCTGCATAATAAGCGCGTTGGTAACCGCAGTTTTTTATTATTATTATTATTGAATTATTATCATTAAGATATTGCTGCTCATCTCCTGTTTCAGTTCCTTAGTCACCTCTTACGAACACCCACGGTATGATATGGGGGTTTGGATTCTTAATCACTTCACGCCAAGGTCAGTAACATACGAAGGATTTATAATGTCCAGGCTAATGTAACGGCAGGACGGGATCATAGTGCACGAGCGTGTACCCAATCACAGATGCACTGTCTATTCACTCTCATAGTCCGGTGGGACGGCGACACAACACGAAAGGAGAGAGAACAAGCACAGGATCAACTGCTTTGTGCTATCCGAGGCACGGGACTGACACACCACCAACTTCCTGACTCTGGGTTGCTAGGTGCGCTTACGACTGCTACACCACCGAGACAATCACTGAGAATTTTAAACACCAACCAAAGCTATATTTGTTACAGATGCAAACCCAAATAAATCAGTAGAAACTGAGTTACAGAAATCAAAACAAACCACAAAAACTTCCTACGAACAACTACAACATGAGCTGTCTTGTGACATCAGCTCGTATATGAATTGCGACGTATATTATACTATAAAGAGATTATTACCGGGTGATCTGAAAGTGCTTTACTGTGGTGGTGAGGAGGCGCATCCGAATATCGACCCTAACCCATTCGAACAAGGCTTTGAATGCCGTGCGCATGAGAAGAAAGGCGGTGTTTATGTAACCGATAACATTGTTTATAATTGGTTTGTATTTTTTTCTTCTATTTAATATTAATTAAAAGGTTTTCAGTGTTGGTGTTAGGTTAGCTATCAGCATATTTATAAAAATTCTTGGAGTCAGTAGACATGCAATACTGATATTTCTATCGAACATAATTTGTTATCAGGAAGATGATGCTGTCTATCTCCTGTTTCTTTGCCCTATGTCGACTCTTCTAAACCCACGAGATGTTATGCGGTAGTTTAACCACGGGGTGTTAGTAATGGACGATAAAAAAATAGAAATAAATTTAACTAACTATAATGTATTGGGGTCTTCACCTTTGAAATTGCCGTTTTGTATGGGAACAGTGTTTTATTAGGTACTTCAAACTTTTGCCTAAACTATTCCTACTGCTATAATATCATTGCTATAGAAGTCTGCTGCACGAGGATTGATGAACACTTAAGGCGTTATTTACTGCTTCTATGAAATTGCAATATTTGTCTGTCAAAATTTATATAAACTGAAAAAAAAAAAGTAGAAGTCTGTTGGTGCAAGGTGTGGATAAGGAAGGGTCTCTAGGCTTAACTTAACTAAGTTTGCCATCGTCTCTGTCGACAACTATGTGTCGCCCAGTTCGTGAGGTCGCAATTTGTTAAGCTTCTTTATTCTATCGATTTGTATATTGTATACGCTTACAACAAAAGCTGACGCTAGCTCAGCCGTAGTTTCTTCCTCTGGCCACGAGGGTCATTTGTGAGGTCAAAATTTCACAAACGAAAGCGGTTTAACAAATTACTCACAGTTCGTTAATTAGCAGTGTTAGGTCCGTATACGTCATTGATATTGCGTGCCGTTTGAGACGCATTGTTTCCACGTTGCATCTTTCAACATAAAATCAAAAAATCGCGGCTTTATTGTGGCCCAAGGCCCACCTCAGCCGCACCTTAACCTATTGTCAAAAAAGGAATATGAACTACACAACAGGAACGTCAATGTCGCGAAATTTGTTCCCCCTGTATATTCCGTTTACAATTATAATTATTTCGCTAATAAGTCTAGTAAGATAGTTATAAACCGATTTCATATAACTATATTACGGTATGTAGCTATATCCCTCGGGATATAGTTATATCACGGTTTTAACTATCTTCCTGCGACACATACAAAAAACATTCGAATTGGGAAGCTTAACCATTTTTGAAAAGGGCTAAAAATTTACGAGTTACTTTTAACGTTAACACATACTACTAAATACCTGCTACATACTATAGTTAGTCGTTATAGATGCGGTATCTGTGTAAATGGACCATAATATATTTTGCTGATCGTTACTTCCGTCAGAAAAATATGACTGAAAAGGAAGCCTACCTTTACGCATATATATATATACATTCAATTAAGTTTATCTTTACAGTGTGCTCGACACGGATTGGAGTTACAATAGCTATCAAGAAATATATGGTGTTGCTTGGACTTGTCCCGATTGTGATATGGCGCTGTGTTTGTCACCGCTGGAACGGCTTCAGCATAAAAGTTTTATGTGCTCTTCTCGAACAGAAGAGAAAAAAGTGGAAGTTACTAAAACGCCAAGAGAGAATAAACCTAACGCCAAAGAGTATAAATGCGAAATTTGTAATGAAATTTTGTATATGACACCTGTTGAAATACTTAAACACAAAAAGAATTGTAAAAGTAAATAGATATGGATATTATTTAACTCAAAGTGTTTTACTAATATACCCTAATAAATCTAACAAATTTATACAAAGTAGTTTTTCAAAAATAAAAGGAAGGTATTCCTCGTAGGTATAATAATATTTTATCTCCATTACCAAGGTACTCTAAAGATGGGACAGTTTGACATCCATTTAGCCGGATTATTTTGGGTCCCGAGTTTGAATCCCAGTCGATGACAATATTTGTTCAAATACACTAATTGTCGCATTTCAAGACAGAGATTGGCTCGGACGCAGTCTCAGAGAAAGCAGACAATCACAATACCACAGATTAAATAATGGTACTACGTAAACAATACATTTATGCAGTGCTATTGTGTAACTCAGATGGAAATCGTGATTGGGTTCGTTTTGATGTTTGACATTTAATTTCATTGGATTGGGATAGATAAATGTATCGATAATAGTACCTATATTAAAATATTCTAATTTAGGTTATCCTGTGTTAACATTATGGAAAAAACAACGCGGTTTCGGAGTGAGTGTGTTCTGACACGGTGCCTGTTTTGTAACCGTTGATTCTGATGCCTACGGGATAGGTTAGGACTAAGAAACAGGCTAGGGTCCTTTACATCAGATATTTCATGTTATTTTTCCATAATCTTAAAAATAACAAAAGAGAACTATACAATGTAGTATATGTAGACATAATGATGTCTAATAAAATCCAATCGCGAGTAATTTATATCCTCACGTACTATTACGTGGAAATCGAATAGCGCTTCTGAACGAGCGGCCGAGTCACGAGTGTCCGTGCCATTGCGGTAATAAAATTAAAAAGAAAAGATAAGCGCGCGAAAACACCGCCAAGATGGCGTGAACGATATTCAATTGTTTTTGCTGATCTATACTTTACTGGTATACGATTGCACTCTACTGTGAAATTGTGTATCAAGAAAGTATCAATATATCTGTGATTTATGGTTGCACAAGGTAATATATTATAACATATGTATGTTTAAAATCTATATATATCTTTTTATTTAACTGCGCCATAAAAAGTTATGGTTTTCGTTTTTTTTTTTTATAGAAACAATGGCCAAATACTCAAACGCTACTGAATTTTTAGATGTCTTTAAGTCTAGTGGTGTCACAGTCACTTTGACTTACCCAAAGTGATAGAGACAGCACGAGATTTAACGGCATCTTAAAATTGATTAGCTTTTGAATATTTGGGCATAAGTGTGACAAACGAGTATACCGTATAGGTGATGATAAGCGAATGTATGCAGGGAGGTTTCTACCTACACCTATCATCGATTAAGAATCAACACTCTCTCTTCTCTTCACTCTCTACACGAAACACAGCAGCATTGAGTTGCTGTTTTACGCTGTTATTCTGTGAGAACGTGGTCGTTCCCCGGTAGAGCCTACTCGTTCGTGCTGCATTCACATAATACAGCTATAGTCCGAGTCCTTAGTCTCTTAGTAAGTAGGTAAGGTAAGGATTTTTATAAAACAAGTGTCAAACGTACTTACACATGGACAAACATGGAGAGACGAATCATTTATTTGTAACGCCTCTCAGCTTACGTAGTAACATTATTTAATTTTAATCTGTGTCTCAATTAACGCTAAATATTGATCCACCTTACAAATACTATTTATTCTTTATTGGATTCAAACCCGTGGTACGCAGCGTTCAAAATAAAACGCTTAACTACTGTTCTACTAAGTTGTCACTTTTTATTATTCATTTTGATAAAAAAAATAACCTCAGATTATTTTACATCACTATCTATCATCATTACACCCCTTCACAAGTCCAGTGTTGAACAAAGTCTTCCCCCAAGGAACACACATAAACCTGTACCACCTGTATTCATTGACTTTTTGCATATCTTACCAGGTCTTCACTCCATCTAGTAGGGGGCTATTCTTTTTTTTTGTTTAGTTTTTACATGGAGAAATGCCTGCGCATACTCGCCTCACGGGGCCAAGGACGGGTTATGTCGAACTAAAACCATGATGTTCCACCTTAATCGCATATTGGCAGGGCGACGGGAACGCTTTCGCACACATCGGCAGCCCTGTTGGCGCCGCCGCCCGATGGCAGCACCTCCTCGGGACTTGGTACTTCACCCCCCCTTTTTCCTTTTTAGGTAAGGCGAACTAGGAACACAAGACGTGCGATCCTTCGCGGCCTCCAACTTCAACCACGCAACGAACGCCCTCGCCCCCCCCCCCCCCCCGGCCCTGATATCCAAAGGCTATGGGAGCAACAAGTATTTGGAAGCACCAGCTTCCTGACCCCAGCGGCTGATCTGGTCTGTGACCAAGCCACGGCTACTAAGCCAAGCCCCCCCCTCCACCTCGACAAGGCGGGAATATGTTCGGGGGGTGTAGGGGGTCATCCTACACTTCCCTTAACGGTACGAGGCTGCTAATCGAGAACTTTTCTTCCCATCGGTTTTCAGTTCTTTGAGCTTTGAGGCCGGACCATTGCCACTTCAGCCTACTGATCCTCTGGGCTATGTCTGTTGCTGTTCTGTGGATATCCTCGTTATGGGTTTTATCACAAAGAGCAATTCTGAGCATAACCCTTTCTATCGCACGCTGAGTGATATTGAACCCACATGTCATCATTGGCAACACGCACTGGTTGTACACTTTTGTTTTCATGTTTGGAAAAATACGTGATGAGAAGATGTGTCGTAACCTTCCGAACCCTATCCAGCAGAGTTGGATCCGTCCATTGACTTCTCGGTCGAAGTTGAATTTACCAAGTCGGATAATTTTTTTTTATAGGATCGGGTGACAAACGAGCACACAGTCCACCTGATGGTAAGTGGTTACTGTGACCCATAGACATCTACATCTATCCTCAATAAAGACTCAAGATGCAGATGCGTTGTCACCTGTGAGGCCTAAGATGGAATGCCTCTTAGCCAGTAAAAAGGGTCTCCGGTTCTCTACACTCACCATACGAAACACAGCAGCTTTAAGTTGCTATTTTACGCTGGTTTTCTGTGAGAGCGTGGTCCTTCCCCGGTCGAGCCGACCCATTCGTGCTACAACCATAATATAGCTGCAGCATGGCTCTACCACGTAACAATTTGTCCTAGGTACCATACTCGTCAACAACTTAGTGCGTAGGGCTTCCAACAACTATCGGTTACGTGTGATATGGAAATTGACCTGACCTATGTCTTGTTCATGTTCATTCTAAGAGATATCCGTTGCGCGTACTATTGATGTCGCTGAGCAAAGTGCTAAGATCCTCCAGTAATTCTGCCATAATGGCTATATCGTCTGCAAATCGAAGGAATGATGTGTTTACCATTGATGCTGATACCGTACCTTTTCCAGTCCAATAGCTTTAAAACGTTTTCCAATACAGCGGTGAAGTGTCGGGGACATAATGTATAGGTATCTATCTTATCAACCGGATCATGCTTATGTTGCTCCGGACAAAAAAAGTCGGTTCCGAAGCTCCGTTTCATATTTTTTTGCAATTCTGGAGTCATTTAGGCTTGTCACAATTTTTTAGATGATCGGGATAAGGGAAGTTTGAAATAAAAAAAATATCGTAGGAAATAACGCGATTTGATAAATTACCAAATTACCAGATTATGCCTCTGTTTGTATTTTTGTATCAGGCCTTTGTACGTAAATTATAAAAGACATGTACGTTTTTTTCAATACGCGATCCCGTTGAACTGGTATTTAGTACGCATACACACTGGAGCTGAGCATGATTAGAGCGCGCACACACGCGCCGCGTCGTGACCCGCCCGCCGGCTGCTCGCTGATGGCCGCCCGATTGCAATGCCCTTTTTTAATTCGCACAATAACGCACCGTACGTTGAGTGGGTGCACACGATGGGGATTTTGGATGACGTCAATTTCTCCACGAATTTTAGTACGAAATAACTACGTGTCTTTTATACGTGGCAGAGCCATGCTGCAGCTTTAATATGGTACAACAAGTGCACGAATGAGGCGGCTCGATCGAGGAAGTACCACTCTTTCACAGAAGACCAGCGTAAAATAGTAGCTCGATGTTGCTGTGTTTCGTACTCGTTTAGTTTTCGTGCTGGAAATGAGGCTTTCTATCTTAGTCCTCAGGGATGGCAACGATCTATATTTTGATTCTTAGTCGAGGATAGATGTAGATGTCTATGGAACACAGCATTCACTTATCATCAAATGAACTGTGTGCTCGCTTGTCACCCTTATTCTACAAAAAAAAGCCGCCCAAGTGCGAGTAGAACTCGAGCATAAAGGGTTCCGTACTTTCTTAAAACACGTTTCTAGAAGGGGAGCCCCTCCTTTAATTTATTTTTATTACTTTTTGTCATTGCGGCAAAAGTAATACACACTTAGTAAAATTTTCCACTGTCTACCTATTACGGATCATGAGATAGAGCCCGCTGACAGATAGATGGACGGACGGACGTACAGCGGAGGCTTAGTAATAGGGTTCGGTTGGTTACCCTTTGGGTACGGGACCCTAAAAAGACAAAACATAGCGTATAAACTATGAAGCAGATTTTGTAAGAATATAATATTATTGTATTGTACCTAATTTTAGCGGAAAAATATTTTATTAGTTATAGCATTTGTAAAATTTCTCACTATAAAACTGTCCCACAGAATTCAGAAATGTTGAATGTGTTATTTAATATTAAAATATAATTTAGATATATAAATATACATAACATTTAATAATAAAATAATACTTTAAACTTTTTAGGAATAAGATCATGAAGTTTTACATACTAAGTGATGGATTTTTAATTTGTAGGCTGTGTATAAAAGTATACCTAAAAAGTGATTCTAAATGCAATTTATTAAAGCGAAAGAATGTAGCAGTGTGAATCGAGACTCCGCGTTGCGTCCAGCAGTCGTCGTGAGAGAAGCGGCGCGCCCCGCCCTCGGCTAGCCTGACATTATACCGGCGTTCCCAACCGGTGCCATTCTGCAGTCTTTAACATGCTAATAAATGAACGCTTCAGCATATT